ATTGGCCCACATGTGGACAGGGAAGAGGAGCTGGAACTACTAAAGAGAATGAAATCCTGCAGATGCCTGAGTGGCTCAGTTGGTTAAAGCATTAGACTCATGATTCCGGCTCAGGTCACGATCTCATGGTTTGTGGGTTTGAGCCCGCTTCAGGCTCTGGACTGGCAGTGTGGAGCCTGCTTGGGATTCTCTCCCTCTCTCTCTGCCCCTCCCCTGCTTGCCCGCTCTATCTCAAAAAAATAATTTTTTTTTTTTTTTTTTAAGAAAGAATAGGGGTGCCTGGGTGGCTCAGTTGGTTAAGCGTCCGACTTCAGCTCAGGTCATGATCTCACGGTCCATGGGTTCAGGCTCCAAGTCGGGCTCTGTGCTGACAGCTCAGAGCCTGGAGCCTGCTTCAGATTCTGTGTCTCCCTCTCTCTCTGCCTCTCCCCTGCTCACACTCTGATTCTCTCTCTCTAAAATAAATAAACATAACAAAAGAAGAAACATTTTAAAGTAGTAAAATCCTGGATTTCTCAGCTCCAGACTTGGCTCTACTTAGGAGGCACCAACCCATGTCCACCACACTCCCCACCTCCCATCTACTCAGTTTTGTTTAAGATGGGAGGACCTGACCTGTTCCCAGGATAGTTGGGACCTTGCCTCCTGCAGTTAAGGAGTCTTTAGTGGAGACACTTAAACTAACAACTGTTAGGATCAGGCATAAGGCAGGGTAAAGATAAGAGTCAGAGGCTAAAAAATTTTAGCAGTCAAAGGCTTTATTTGGGAACTAAGGTCTCGGGCGAGGTTCCGTGACTCAGGGAGAGAGAGAGAGGAGTCAGGGAAGTCGCCCCCAGGTGTGGCGGGGTGGGGTTTTTAAGCTGCAGCGGTTCCGGGTTTAGGTCCGGGTGGGCCTTTTTCGCGTCAGGTCGTGCTGTCGCTCGGTGATTGGTTGACCTCCAATTCGTTCTGGCAGCTACTAGGGGCTTTTGGTTGGGTTGTGCTGGCAAGATGGCCGTCCCCTCTACTGTGGTTCCAAGGACATCCTAACAACAACCTTCTAGGGAAAGCCTGATCTTCATACAAAGAGAAGCCACTCTGCTCCAGGAACTTTACTCCTATTGGGTGTACAGGTCACTGCCCATGGATCTGACACTCTCTGGATAGAGATAAGTCAGGACTAGATAGCAAAATCCTCAAGTGTTTCCAGGGATAGAAACAGAGAGTTGCTGGTAGAGACAGCAGCCCCTGTTTAGACTTTCCTTCCGACAAGCTGGTCCCCTGGCAGGGGGGCTAGTGCTCCATGGGGATAAGGCATCAGATGGGCATGGGCTGTCCAGCTTTGTGTTGCTATGGCCACCATTTACAGAGCACTAACTCAACACAGCAGCCCTGTGAAGTGGGTCCTGTTATCACCCTCATTTTCAAAAGAGGTTGAATTAATATCCCAAGGTCACACAGGTACTCAGTGAAAAAAACCAGGATTCAAAGTTTGTGCTTTTTTGGCCTTTATGATTTCTTCACACCTTGGAGTTCCAGGGTTTCCAGGATGATCACAGTTCTTAAAGAATAGTCGCCAGGGCTGCTGAGAGGACATACCCACAACCAACAAGCTGCCGGATCATTAGAACAAAAGCACCCGGCTTTCTCCAGGGGAAGTCATGCTGAACTAACTTACCAGAGCTCTCAGGTAGTTAGCAAAAACATGTCAGCAAAGGAAACCTGTAGGTTTAGTGTATTGAGGCTTTTCAGAAGTGTTTGGCAACGTTCCGTGCCAAAAATATTTTCATATCTGGAAGAAAATGAGTTACTTTGCTGTGGCTTTGCAGGGAATGCTTTGTCATTAGGGTAAGGAAGATATTCCAAAGGATACATGTGCACCCCTCCTGATGGAGATTGGTAAATAGCAGTGCCTCCCAGGGATTGGTGCTAGTAAGGTTGTAGTTCATATATACATTTTTTTTAATATGAAATTTATTGTCAAATTGGTTTGCATACAACACCCAGTGCTCATCCCAACAGGTGCCCTCCTCAATGCCCATCACCCACTTTCCTCTCCCTCCCACCCCCTATCAACCCTCAGTTTATTCCCAGTTTTTAAGAGTCTCTTATGGTTTGCCTGTACATATTTTTTAAATTAAAGATCTGGAAGAGGAAGCTTATATAGAGGAAAATTCCAAGTCTTCAGGATTCTTGGGAAGTGGGAAGCCAGATTAATGGAATGTGTATGTTTTTTGCTTTGGTTCCCAAATCCTTGCTAATGATCGGCATTTTGTTGGCCTGATTGCCACAGTAACAATCAAGGGGTTTCATCCATTCCACGCTTAACTATCGCGTGCCCTCTATACGCCAGGCACCGTGCTGGACACAGGCATGGATCGCACATAGTTATTCTGCTTCACAAAAGTGGAATTCTGCAGGTCCTCCATTTGCTCTTTTTATTTCTTGAGCCATTGTAAACAGTGCTACCGCATTCTTTGTAATGTCCGCCCTCTGGCATTTCCCTAAGAAGTGACCGCATATACGATCATTTAATTGGTTCCCTCTCATTGGGCTTTCACATTATTTCTGGATTACAATAAAATAACAGTATAGCCTTAAACATTCCTGTATTCCAGGACGCCTGGATAGTTCAGTCAAGTAAGCATCTGATTCTTGATCTCAGGTCTTGATCTCATGGTCATGAGTTCAAGCCCCACATTGGGCTCTGCCCTGAGAAAGAAGCCTACTTAAAAAAATAAAATCCATGGGGCACCTGGGAGGATCAGTCGGTTGAGCCTCTGACTTCACCTCAGGTCATGATCTCATGTTTGTGATTTCATGCCCCTCATCAAGCTCACTGCTGTAAGCACAGAGCCTGCTTCAGATCCTCTGTCCCCCTCCCTCTCTGCCCCTCCTCTGCTTGCACTCTCCCTCTCTCTCAAAAACAAATAAACCCTTTAAAAAATAAATCCCTGTGCTCTGATATTTGTCCATATGGACAAGTGTTTCTGAGGATAATCATCTGGAAGAGAAATTATGAGGTCGGGAGATACACATTTAAATTTTTTTATAGAAAGTGATGAATTGCCTGCAAAAAACATCCAGCTCAGTTTTAATTACCCCCAAAGCAACGCCAATTTTCTCAAATCCCTACCAACATGGGATATTATAATGTTTCCTATCGCTGCTGTAACAACCATAAATTTGGTGGTTTTACAACAATATAAATTGATCATCTTATGGTTCTGGAGATCAGGAGTCCCACTCGAGACTCACTGGGCTGAAATCTTAAGAGTATCAGCAGGACTGAGATCCTTCTGGAGGCTCTAGGAGAGATAGATCCTTAGCCCATAGCCCTCTTCCATCTTCAAAACCAGTGAAGTCTGGAGTCTTTCTCACGTGGCATCACTCTGACACTGACCCTTCTTCTGCCCCCCACATCTCCATTTTCAAAGCCCCTTATGACATTGAGCACACCTGGATAACCAGGAGTCTCTCCTTACCATCAGGTCAGCTGACTAGCAACCTGAATTCCACCTGTGTCCTTAATTTCCCCCTGCCTTGTAATGTGACGCGTCCCAGGTTCCAAGGAGTCGGACATTTGGGGAAGGGGTATTTTTCTGCCTACCACAGATACCATCAACCTTTTTAATTGGGTCCATTCTAAGTGAAAACATGGTATCCTGCTCTTTTAAGTCACATTTTTTCAAGTGTGAGGTTGAACATCTTTTTCTGTGTGAAGAGGCAGAAGGGTTTTTGTTTTCGTAAGTTGTCTGGGTCTTTTGTCTCCTTTTCTGTTAGTTTTGGGCGGGGGGTTGTTTTCAATGGAGTTAGAAGTTCTTGAGGGTAAGGACTTTTTCATATTCGTGTTTACATCCCAGTGCCTCAAGACATGGCCAGATTCAGAGAAACAATCCCTGCCTGTTGGCTCTCCTTTCTTCTCTCCCACCCCATTCTCTTCCTTCTCTGCTTTGGAAGCAGTGCCTGGACCTGGATGCTTCTGGCTGAGCCGAATGTGTCTAGGAGCGGGTGGTGGTCTTATGGCTTACTTACAGCGCCATGGACTTCTCAGGCCGTGACAGGCTCTGGGGTTCGACAGATTGGGGGCACAGCCCATGACCCAACCCTGCGCTGAGGCAGCCCTCTGCCCCTTTCTGAGCCTGTTTTCTCACCTGTAAAAACCACGATGGTGGCATGCTGGCATTTTAGGGTTGCTGGTATGGAACAGGACAAATATTGACCCCTCCTTTTGAGAGCAAGGACCCCTCTTGCAGAGCTGCCCCACTTGCCACGGGGAGGCCGGGAGGAAGCCCTACTAGGAGGACCCGGCAGGGTGCCAGCCCCAGGGGTGCTCCATGCCCCCTGATCCACCTCATGGCTCCACCCGACAGCAGGTAGAGATGACTTTCCCCTGCCTCTGACCTAGAAACGGAGGTGCAGAGAGGCCACGGGGCCCCAGACGGCGTGGCTAGTTTGGTGTAAGGGGACTCTTCCCGACCAGCCCGCTCCCATGGCCTCCCTCTCTCCCCCGCTTCTCCAGCCAGCTGGGCTGCAGGGCCCATGCCAGCCGCCCTCCTCCTTCCTTTGGAAGCTAGCAACTGCCCTTGCCTGGCAGCCCCAGACCCGGGACTCTGAGGAGGGGGGCCACGGGAACCCTCTGCGGCCCTTTCCTTCATGGTCAGCAGTCTGGGCTCCAGCCCCTCCTGTGCAGCCGCCTGGGGCTGGAACTCATTAGCTCTTTTATTAAATCCATCTGCTCTGCTTGGAGATGGCCCCGAGTCTCCGTGCTCCCCGCCCTGGGTATGTGAGGCGGGGGCTGCACACAGATGCCATTGTGTGAACTGGGTCGGCGTCCTGGAGGGCAGAGGCCCAGGCGCCCTGTGTGGGCGAGGGCCCCTCCCGGCCTGGAGGGTGTGGATACTGAGGAGCAGGAGTCCACATGGCCATGGAGTGAGGGGGAGTCTGGAGAACCCTGAGCCTGGGGGGGGCGTGCTGGGATAAAATGGGACACTGCGGGTTTGCTGCTCTGCCTTCCGCTGATGAAGCCACCCCCTCCCCCTCCCCAGGAGTGCATCATTGACGAGGACTGCGGGCCCGCCAGGTATTGCCAGTTTGCTAGCTTCGAGTACACCTGCCAGCCTTGCCGGGACCAGCAGACGGTGAGTGTGCCCAGAGGCGTCTGCGGCTGCAGCACCGGGTCTTGGGGGCTGGGCTGGGTCCCACAGAAGGAGACCTGGGGGAGAAGCCTTCCCGGAAGTCTTCTGTGGGGCTTTTAACCATGTCCGTGCTTGGAAGAGCCTCTCCATGCGGCCCAATGGGGCTGACTCCTGGAGTGACAAGGAAGCCATCTGCAGACCTGCCACCACCCTCACTTGCCGCATGATCTCATGGGTGACAGAGGAGGGAGGGAAGGCGGGGACCCGGTACCTGTCATTCCCCCGGGGTAGACCCATCCCCGTAGATGCTGCCAGTGACACTATTGCAGCTCCCACCCCGCCACCCTCCACCCTCCAGATCTTTCTCCCCATCTGCCCAGAGAGGGCGGAGGGAGGGCCGGAAGAAGCCAGAGGACTTCCCTGATAGAGATTCCACAGAGAAGCACGAAGCCAGGGAAGCGGGGACTCCCTCCACCCAACAGATGTTTTGGACAAAGCCATATGGGCTCATTGACTTTTCTTGTCCTTTTTCATTACCGAGGCAGTAATAACACAGCATGATAACAAGTTTGGAAAATAGAGGGCTTCTTCCTCCCCTGTCTGGTGCCAGCTGTGGTCAGGCAGCTGCAGGTGTCCCTCCAGCCTGCCACCTCCAAGTGTGACTGTGGGGCCCCGGTGTGCTCCATGCTTGTCAGTCCCGCGTGCAGCTCCACACTGTGGCACCCCCACGCCCTCCCCATCCAGATGGCCTTCCGGGCTTGGGCCTGGATTTAGTCAGCTGTTGAATCAGGCTGCTGCCTGCAGCTGTGGGCCATAAGCCACATTCCTTCCTAACCTAGGCGCCTAATAAAAAGGAGGCAAGGCACAAGTCTGTGGGGGACACACTATGTCCTTTGCAAAATCTCAAGCTACATAGGAAATACTCCAGATACGTGACTCACCCCAGGTGCCATCTTTCCAGTGTTCTCCCGTCTCTGCTCCCTTAACTTCCGCTAAAAGCCCCCAAGCCTCAGACCTCAGTTGCCTCCTCTGTATAATGGGAGCATGTGGTTAACCTACGTGTGGCATTTTCAGGGCTGGGGACAGTGACAGTACGTGAGCCAGCATGCTGTTGTTTGCCCGCAGCTCTGCACCCGGGACAGTGAGTGCTGTGGAGACCAGCTGTGCGTCTGGGGTCACTGCACCAAGGCAGCCACCAGAGGCGGCAACGGGACCATCTGTGACAACCAGAGGGACTGCCAGCCTGGGCTGTGCTGTGCCTTCCAGAGAGGTGGGTGGGCTCTCCACTGGGTACGGGGCAAGCCCTGTCCCAAGCTCCACCATCCTGGTCTTCCTGGGGCCCCATCTGTGCCAGACACACCTTTGCAGGGTCCCACCTCCTTGGCAGGCTCCCAAACACTCAGGGTGCATCCCAGCCCCACAGCCTGGCCTGAGGCAGGCCCCCACCTGGAGCGGACCACCAGGTCTTCTGTCTGTGTCTCCTGTGGACACCTAGAAAAGTTAAATCCCTTCAGGATGCATGAGCCCAGGGCAGGAGGAACAAGCCCTCCCTACTCTCCACCTCATTTCCCAGGCCCTGAAGGTAGCACCTGGCCCTGTCCTATCCTCTGAGGATGTCCCCCTTCTAGTCCTGTCTTCTATTTTCACTGGCCCTCATGGGTGAGGTCGCTCAGGCTCTTCCCTCCTGCAGTGTTTCTGAAAATGTCTCCTTCAGCTGCCTCCCCAGCTCAGCCTCTGCAGCTCCCAGCCCGCCTGGTACCTTCTGTCCCAGCCATTTTCCTCCAGGTCGGCGCTCCGTGTGGCTCCTCTGGCAGCTGTGGTTGCTCTGTTCTGTCTCATCAGACTCCTCCGTTTCCCTTCCAAGGCTTCCCCCAGGCCACACCCAACCCCAGGCCTCTGTTGCTGCTGTGTCCCAGCCTTGAGGGCCTTTCTTACACTCTTTATTTCTCCAGACCTTTGGCCTCAAAACCGAGCACAAGCCCCCCCGCCCCCCCACTCCAGGCAGTCCTCTCTAACTGCTCCAGCCTTCCAGACTCATTCCCTCCACAGCCCATTCTGCCATTTTGTTTCTTCTCATTTCACCTCTTTAATTTTAACCTCCACTTCGAGGTTGAGGGGCTGGAAAGTTGGGGCTCCACCCCATTTCTCTGCTTCCTTCTGTGGTACCTGCCTGCTTGGTGCTGGGCACACAGGGGTGACTTTCCCCTGGCCCTAGGTCTCTTGTTTCCTGTGTGCACACCCCTGCCCGTGGAGGGTGAGCTGTGCCATGACCCCGCCAGCCGGCTTCTGGACCTCATCACCTGGGAGTTAGAGCCTGATGGAGCTCTGGACCGATGTCCGTGTGCCAGTGGCCTTCTCTGCCAACCCCACAGGTGAGGCCCCACCTGCCCTCCCTGTTAGAGGTTGAGAGCAGATGAGATGCCACCCAGTAGGATCTCAGGAGCAGAGGGGTGATGTGGATTTAGTTCAGGGTAGGTTTAATTTGAGGTGTCCTTGGGTCATCTGGATGGAGCTTCTGATAGCAGTCAGATCTATCGTTCTGGGGCTCAGGAGAAGGTGTGGCCAGGGATACAGATGCGGAGCTCATCCACACGGTGGTTGAAGCCTCATCATGAATAGGTGACCAAGGGAGATGGTGTAGAGGCAGAAGAGCTCCCACCTAGGACCATCACTGTGAAGGACAAGCTGAGAAGTTGCTGGCAGAGATGACTGAGAAGGCACAGAGGTAGAAGGGAAACTAGAGAGTGGGCCACCAAATTGGAGGGCACCATTGATGGTGTCATAAGCTGCCGAGAAACCGTGAAGGAGAGGTGTGGCCTCTGTGCAGTCACTCCCAACCTTCCCTCCAGCAGAACCCAGGGTGGCCGGGCAGACAGACAGAACTCCCTGGCCCTGTCTCGTGATATGACAGGCTCTGCCCCGCCGTCAGGAATTGTTCCCACCACGAGGCCCAGATGGGCAGGGGGCTGAGAGGGGTGACACATTGCCATGAACTGTCGGGCCCCCAAGTCCTCAGGGCCTGCCCCAGAGAGTCTCACAGGAAGACAGACCTCCCATCAGAGGTGTGCAGCCATCCCTCTAAAAGTGGTCTTCCCTCAGCAATGTTTGTTAAAGTAAGATGTGGACAGGAAGGTGAGACTCCACTGAGATCTTAGCGGAGGGGTGAAGGTGAGTTCCAGGTGCGGGGCCTTTGCTTTCCTGCTTGGGTCTCCCTGTGTTGATGCGTCCAACTTCACACGCCCTCCCCCTGCGGGGACACATGGCCCTTGGCTGAGTCCCTGCCTGGTCTCTCCCTAGCCACAGCCTGGTGTACGTGTGCAAGCCGGCCTTCATCGGGAGCCGTAGTGAGGACGGAGAAAGCCTGGTGCCCAGAGGGGCCCCCAACGAGTACGAAGATGGCAGCTTCATTGAGGAGGTGCGCCAGGAGCTGGAGAACCTGGAGAGGAGCCTGTCTGTGGAAATGGCTCTTGGGGAGCCCGGTGCTGCCTCTGAGCTGCTGGAGGGAGAAGAGATTTAGACCCAGGCTTGTTTTGTGGGTAGACATGCAATAGAAATAGCTAATTTATTTCCCCAGCTGTGTCCTCTAGGTGTGGGCTTTACCGGGCTTTTTTCCATGGCCTCTTCCCAGTACATGTTCCCTCTGGCTTGAAACAAAATGAGGTGCTGTGTATTTGCCCAACACCCTCCCAGACTGTGCACGGTTCCCGTGCCTGGGGAAGATGGGGGTGTATGGGAGGGTGGAGGGCTGCTAAACTGGTCCAGATCATTGGCTGCTTTGCCTCTGCTGGTTGGCACCTGGCACATTTCATTTTGTTCTACGTCCCTTGGAGATTTGTTGGAGGGGAGGCAAGGGGAAAGGATGCAGATTTCCCCATGATGGGTTTTGGGGAAATGTTGACTCTTACACATGTGGAGAAGAGTGCCCTGCTTTGCAAACGTAAACCTGGTGAAAATGTAACAAGTGGCTTTTCCACGCATTTCTTCCCACAGGCACAGGCAGGCTGTGCCTTCAGCTGCTGTGGGTGACGTGTTCTGTGCACTCTGTGTTCCACGTGTCCCCGTTCTTTCATCAGTGTTACTCGGCTCCTACCTCTGTGCCAGGGGAGCAGTTCTGCATCACTTGCCAGTCCGGTGAGGAGGGTGGTGGTCTCCCCATCTGTCAGGATTTTGGTGTCTCAGAGACATCAAGTTGCTTGCCCAAGTCACACAGCTAGTGAAGATCAGAGCAAGATGCACCCAGGTGTGATTCCAAGCCCAGTGCTCTCCCCACCAGCCTCAGGGCCACGGAAAACACTCCGTAAGAGGGAGGATGGGTTTTTGTTTGTTTGTTTTTGAGGCGTATCTGGAAGTAAGGCCAACCTAGTTCACTGTAAGATTAAACTTCTGGTAGAAATAGCATTCTCCTCAGTGTGGGGGTGGCCATCATTCTAGTGGAGACCAGCGATATTGACGCTGTCCCCCTATGGCAGTTAGTTATGTTAGTGACTTTGAAAGTACTACGATTGGTGCATAAGATATATGTTAACTTGTCAGAAACAGTGATTGTAGGGCCAGGATTATAAATGAAATTTGCAAAATCACTTACCAGCAACTGAAGACCATTATAAACCACGTGGAGAAAATCAAACCAAGCAAGGCTCTATGAAATATGGTTGTAACATCCACACTGAGAGCACTGGACTGGATGCTATTCTGCAAATGGTATTTTCAGGTGCCATTGACTGTTTCCATCATGTATTCATCCAGAGTTAAATTTTAAAATTGCACATGATTGTATAAGCATGCTTTGAGTTTTAAATTATCTATAAACATCTATGTTGCATTTAAAAATCAAGCATAAATCACTTAGATGACTCCTTTATAGTTCTTGGATGTCTTCTTTCTTTTTGACTTTGAATAAATAAAATGGGAATGATCTGCATTGTCCAAAAACAAACAAAACCAAAAAACTCTTCCACGTAAGTGACTTTAACATTCAAGTGAAGCACACCGGTTTTAGCATCAAAATATTTTAGAAATGTTCACTCCTTTGTAAGGCATTAGTCTTAAGAGTGTCAATACTTCACCGTCTTCTGAAAGAGTAAATGGAATGTATATGACTCTTCTTTCCACTCAAATGCGGTTCTGGGCCAGAACATAGATCTTCAGAGACTATAATAATAAAAAGACAATATATTAAGGTCCGCTGGGGGAGGGGGCAGGCACCGGATTAGGCAGTCTACCTCTATCATATCTAATCTTCATTGAATCCACGAGTATTTTTTCATTTAGCAGATGAAAAAAAAAAAAAGGAAGCTCAAAAATATTAAGCGATAGTGCTAAAAGTCAAATAAAAAAATCTAGTACAGTAGGCCCAGGATATACTGATGATTTTAAGATCAAATATAGAGCTGATCTCTACTCAGTGTCAAAAGTCACCAGGACCACTCTACATCCTTACTACTCAACAGGTACTAACTGAGAGCCTACTCAGAACCAGGTGCTAAGATCTGCTGTGGGGCTGCCAGGTTGAGCCAGATAGGGTCCCTACCCTGGGCGCACCACAGCCTCATGAGAGATACACATTAAACCCAGCACCCACCAAAGCAGTCAACCCAATGTCAGAACGGTGATGGGAGCCCCAGAGAACACTCAGCTGCATGGGAATTGGCTCTCAGAGATCAGAGTTTATCAGGTGATCAGAAGGAACAGGAAAGGGCATTCTGAGCCAGAGCAGAGGGAGAGAGGTGAGAAAAAGGGCTGGCACATAGAGGAAACTGCAAGTAATTCACAGCGCCTGGAAGGCAAGGTGAATTTGAACAAGCGTGTGGAAATGAAGCTGAAGATTTTGTTCGGCAAAAATTTTGAGTTCCTACTGCGCCAGGCCCTACCTGCATGAGTACCAGGAGACCATGGTACATAAGATAAAGCTAAGTCCCTCCCTCACAGAATTTATGTGCGGATCCACCCTGCTCCCCCGTCCTCAGAGCCCACTTCCAGTGGGAAACTGCATTTGACAGAACACATTTGGCACCATTACTGGAAAAACAGAACCACTGCGTATTTCTCTCTCAACAAACCAGTACTCCTTAATTAAATGGGTTACTTAAGCATTATAAAAGAGGCTGAACACTCAGTTCACTGGGGAAAGAGGCAGGCTGGGAAAAAAGAAAGCGGAAAGGAAGTATGTTCCCCACTTCTCAGGCAAGGCTGTAAGGTCCACTAATCAATCATTCCTGGCCTGGTCAATTCTCAGGCTCTGACCAGTCAGAAGACCTGTTTCTCCAGTAAAGATGAGCTGGTGAGGGGATGAAGAGGCGTGCTGTCATGGGGAAGGGGCAGAGCATTTCTCCCCAGTGCTTTTTTGCCCTCCTAGCTTGGCCCCTAATGATCGCTGTGTGCTTTTCTGAATGGTCACACACACTTTCACGCACTCTTGATCTTGTCAAGTATTCTTGTTTCTAAAAGCTGACTTTTGAAAATTAACACCAGAACTAATCAGGTGGTCACATAGCACCCTTCTTCCCCACAGGAATGGCACTGAAGGAGCACCTTTGATGACATGTACTCCTAGTCTAGATGGCTATAAGCTTTATTTGGGCCATGAACTCCTTTGAAACCTGATAAAAAAAATATTTTACTAGGCCCCTAGAAAACTATACATTCCACAAAATTTTGCTTTTAAAAATGTAAATTGCCTTATAAGGCTTCTGACTGCTAATGACTAAAATATTGCCTTGTTTTTCAAAAACTACACAGACTTTAGATGCAATAGTTTTATTTAGCAAATAAAAAAAAAGCTGCTTCAGATTATCTTCTATTCCATATACTCTAGACTACAATTTGTTAAGTCACAAGTGCAAAAGAGCTGGTTAGGGTCTTGATGCTAAACAAAGGGACAGAATTCAGCAGGAGAACTAGAGTAGCCAATTGCAAAGGAAATACTAGCAAATGAACCAGAATAAATGATTTTATTGTATTCCATACATTCACAGGTCACTTCCAGATTTAGCAACAACACTGATTAGCCATGCTCAGATTCTGTGTACTCATTTAGCTTCGACCATGTAGTAAGTTTTAGCTCTCTCCTGGCCTAGAGAAGGACCACACCACCATTCCTAACTGTGTAGCCTGGCAACGATTTTTCTAGCTGTGGCAGAGCCTCACGGCCCCCTCCCCCACCATTTTCTCAGAATCTCTAAGTACTTCCCATCCGTTATGAAACAGATCGGCAAATACTCTAGTGCAGGGCTCCTTTGCTCTTTTTATCTCATCGTAGCTATTACCCCTTACTTACACCTTGGTTTGACAGGTGGACTTTGAACTAGCAAGCTTCTACAGACCAGCCAGACACAGCACAGTCCTGAAACCATAGCTTCTGCTTCTCTGACCAGAATGCACTCCTCACCTTCAGCACCTGCTTCAGATATGTAGGTACTTGGTTCTCCCACGGCATGCCTGGTTGATGCAAACCCATCTCTCCCATGGTAGAAGCTCTTCAAAATCCTTGTGCGACCTCTGAGGAACGGGGTCACGATTTATTGCATGTGGTCTGTGTCCACCTCAGGAGATTCAGCAGATGAGTGATCACTAGGCCTCGCTGCCCTGCGCTTGGGCAACTGATCCACACAGTCAGTGTTCTGCCTCTTGGCTCCTGCCTCAAGTGATTCTCTGAATCTGAGGGAGGTGGATCACATTAACCGCCCTCGCATAAATTACTGCGCCCATCACCACAAACTGAGTTTGAACAATTCGTTGCTCCCTTTACTGAAATGGTCAAAGTGCAACACCGTGCTCTCACTCTATCAGGCACTGAAAAGCAGGAAGCTTCAACTTTTTTTCTATAATGAGATCTATTTTCTTCACTCTTGGTATTTGTAGTATGCCTGTAATCAGCAGCAGAAAACAAAAAGCAGGGCAGAAGGCACAGAATGAGGAGCAGGTGTGAGAACTTTACCGTTGACTCTTAAAGGAACACGAAACCAAACCAAACCAAGCCCAAAGCCTGTTTTGTTGACAACTGGCCTCTCCTGCTCCATAGAGTCAGTCCTCAAACGCAGAAACTCGATTTATTAACCCCTAAATTCCAAGTAAGTAGGCCTGTATCAGAACCAAAGAGTTGTCATGTCACACCAGAAAATCCAAGTGATTGGAAAGACAATTCACTGCACATGCTTCCAAGAAGCAGAGGAGACTATGAGAACGCCAACCCCCTAACGCAGACTCAGAACAGTACTTAGATGAAATTTAGCAGAATGCACACAGTTTACATGGAATAAAAATTAGCCAGAAAAATACCTTAGAAAAGATTTTTCCCCCCTGTGGATTCCAAGAAACTTTAAAGATATTATGGAATTCTCAATCATTATATTCAAACTACAAAGCCAACATCTGCTAATACTATTTTCTAATTATATCTTTCTTAAAAGGAAATAAGGTAAAAATCTGATTTTGAAATACTGACAGGATCCTCCAAAGTATTAACATCTTTTCATCTGAGAACTTTACTGTAAACGTATCTTACAGAAAGAATTATTCAATACTCATTACAAAATATTAAAGAAAATAAATCTATTCTTAACCCAGACTCTTCATCCACAAAAGTTTAATGACTAAAATAACACAACAGAATGAACAAATGTTTTATTGGCATGTTCATCGTTGTAAACAGCATCTGGCATGAAAAAGTTTTACCAAAACCTTTTTAATTGATTTTTATAAATTAGATGGCATTTTCAAAATTTATGTAGAATTGTGTTCATTGAAGTCATATTTAGCAAAGCAAAAACTTGCCCATTCTAATAGACTTTGCAATGAAATCATGTTGACTACATCAGCCTGTGCTATGACCTGACTTACTAGCAAGTTTTTTTCAACACGATGTTAAGACGCTTTCGCAAAGTTAAACTACATGTAACTACAAATCAACTCCAAAAATTAAAGTGGGACTTACAAGGGTTCGAGAAGATTCAAACTTGAAGTAAATCTTCAAAAGTAAATGTACAAAGGAAAAAACTGAAGCCGCTGAACAGAAAAACCTCATTAACAAGGGCAAATACAATTGTATGGGACCCAGCACTGAGGAACCTCACTGAGGATTACATGTACATAGACTGCTATACTCCTCAATGTACACAAATGTACATCATGAATGGTACGTGAAAAGAATAACCATGGGAAATAGTTGAACTGCAATTATGATAACTCAATAGGATCAATTTTATTTACATGCTGAATGAACGAGTGAACCATATTCTCTACATCCATAACTTAAGTACAATCAGTTATAATTACAATATTGCAGCAATTTGAGCTGCTACTTGCTGGGAGCGGTCTAAGGGAAACGTTTTGATGTTCCAGAATAATGTTTTAATACTTTGCAAAAAATGAAACAAAATAAAAACACAACTTCACAATTCTTTACTGGGTTATGGCTGGTTCTAAGAATTTCTCTCTTCAGCTCCTATTTTTGCTGCTTTCCAAGAGTCAACACACAGTTGCATTTACTTCCAAATTGTCAATGAGGTAATGTGTGTATCAGTGAAATAAACAGAAAATTCATTCATTCATGGCCTTTGCACAGCTTTTATTATGAAGCTATGAGCATCCTGTTTGAGGCTAGTTTTACTAGCGGCTATGTGCACATTCGTCCGCAATAAAAGAAGTGTATTCATTCCCCTTCCCCCTTTCCTAGTAGCAGGTTTCGCTTTTTGTTTTTTGTTTTTATTTTTTTGCACATCCCTTTTCACTTTACAGTACATTTGACTATAGTGCACAACATGATTCCAAGTCAAAACAGTGGCCCATTGGGCACTGAGCTTCTGATTGGTGAAGGGCAGTCCAATCAGTGCTGGTGTCACTGGGTTACCCCTAACCATGTCCGGCCATAACGGCACTACACAGTAGCAGTGAACCATCTAATTAAAACCAAAATCCCCCAGGGAAAATGCTACACTAGCAGAGTCAGTCTTGAGTCAGATCTTTATTTGGTGCTCCATCCAGATATATTTTTAGTGCTTTCTCTTTCCGAGGTGAGTACGTTACACGATGTCCCGTCTTCTGCAGTCGACTGCTTTCTTTTTTCATCAGTTCATTTCTTTGCTCGTCTGTTAACTCCATTAATTCTTCTGTTTTATCCCTACATTTAAAATATTAATTATATATTAGATTGGTATATCCATCTGCCTCTAGTAACTTACGCTTGAATGTTATAATGCTCCTTGGTAAGAAAATTAAATCTGATTGTCACTGGTGAAGTTAAATAATCTCATACTAAGATGTCCTGGATGGCAAATGTGTTCATTATATTAACACAGCAATGACTTCTAAAAATGGTACAGAAAAATTCCCATGCTATTGTAAGTGTAATAACAGCCACCACTGATTGAACATTTATATATAACATGTACTATGGACAGTTTTGTTAAATGCAGTAGTCCTTGTTCTCAGAAAATCCTGCAAGGCTGACATCACTGTCACCATTTCACAGATGACGAGGAGTTAGGTAAGTAACAAAGCCTAGTCAGAACTCTTATCTGCCAGGCATCAATGACTATTCTTTTTCCTCCGTATTTGTGCTGGCTCACACAGTAGCCACTTGCTACACGTGCCTACTGAAAGCTTGAGACCTACTGGAAGCGTAACACACACTATTTCTAAGAATTACTGTAAGAAAAAGAATGTAAAATATCTCATGAACAATTTTTGATATTGACTACATGTTGTGATAACATTCTGGATATAATGGGTTAAAATATTTTATTAAAATTAATTTCACCGGTTTCTTTTTACTTTTTTAAGTGTGGCTACTAGAAAAATTCAAAATGTAATGTGTGGCTCTTGTACTAAGTACTGGTCAGGGCTGCTTTATACCATAAAAAAAGTAAAGGTATTTATGGAAAACAAGATACTTATGGACAACAAAAATGTTACATCACTATGAATAACAAATACACTGTAAAGATACCTATAAAATATGACGGCACCATCATCACAAATATAAAGAGGCCAGACATTTAGGGTAGAAACTTTAGGATTCCAGTCCAAATCCTGATGAATATCAAGGACAGAAATATCGCAGGGAAAAGTTCCTCTACCCTAAGGAAAAAATAAATGAATGAATAAATCATGCTGACAGCCATGTTTATTGAGCACCAGTACCCAAAGGCAAACACTCTCAAGACTTTACCTTAGCAAATTCAATATCTTCCAAAGGAATTCCACTGATTTCACAAAGCTGTAAAAGGAAACATTTTATATGAGTTCATTTTAAAAAATAAATTTGCTTAAATAAGTTATCAACCTTTTAACCCACACAGAAATAGCTTGATGTTTTCAAAGATGGAATAAATGTTTGATATAAGAAATTAGAAAAAAAAAAAAGCAGAAAGTGAAATCGTCTCTTGTCCACCCTGCAAATACCATGTCCCAGAAATGTCAACTTAGTATATTCCTCCTAGACCTTTTCCTATGCACACATATAAACTACATCACATATATCTAAAATGCACAAAATTATATTTATGAAACCTCTCTATATAATACTTTTATATAGCCTATATATAAGAATAGGACACAGAATAACCTCATGATCTTCAACAGCTGAACAATATACCATTTTATTCCCTACCAATGGTCACTGAGCCTATTTTTAATTTTTCTAGTTACAATGCTATACTATATATACCTTCATGAACATCCTTTCATATTTCTGCAAATATTTCTTGAGAATGAATTCTTAGATGTGGACTTGCACATCTGAAAAGCTGATAATGCCAAAGTGAAGCCTGAAACAGTGATGTCAATTTAGCCACCTATCAAAGCTGTATGAGGGGCGCCTGTGTGCCTCAGTCGATTAAGCGTCCAGCTTTTGATTTCAGCTCAAGTCATGATCTCACGGTTCATGCGTATGAGCCCCACATTGGGCTCTGTGCTAACAGTGCAGAGCTTGCTTGGGATTCTCTCTCTCCCTCTCTCTGTGTACCTGCCCTACTCATGTGAACGCATGTGCGTGCACTCTCAAAAACATATAGACATTAAAAGAAAAAAAAAAGCCGTGCGATCTTGCCTGTTTTCCCAAACTGACAACTCAAGGCATTTTATTTCCTACACTTCCAGCATTTTAAGAGGAAAAGAATGCTGTTACTGTTTTAACTTGTATTTATTCTTCAATGAATTGCCTATTCAAGTTCTTTGCCTACTTTAAAATTAGATTATTCACCTTTTTCTTATTAATGCAGTAGCTCCATATAAATACGGACCATAATGCTTCATATCTGTTTCAAATATTTTTCCCCTTCCTTGTTTTTTATCTTTGTTTATCGGTTGTTTATTGAAAAAAGAAGAAGAAGAAATTGGAGGGACGCCTGGATAGCTTAGTCAGTTGAGTGTCTGACTCTTGATTTCGGCTCAGGTCATGATCCCAGGGTCATGGAACAGAGCCCTACATTGGGCTCCATGCCCCGTGAAAGATTCTTTCTTTCTCTCTCTCCCTTTGCCTCTCTTCTCCACTCATGCTCTCTCTCTCTAAAATAAACATTTGTTAAATTAAAAAAGAAGAATTGGAGAGGAGGCTGTCTGGAAGGTTTATACTTTTATGTGGTCTTTTCCTTTTTAGTTTCTGGTATTATGCTTACAAAGATCTTTCTGTCTCTAGAACATAAAAATATTTTCAACCTTTTCATCTAGTACACTTAACATTTTATTGTATTTTTATATAAATTTAATATATTTAGAATTTATTTTTGCATTTGGTGTGAATTATGGAAACAAAGTGTTTTTAAGATGCCAATTATCCTAGTACTGCTTATGAATAATTCACCCATTCCCCAGAGAGCCACAGAATTCCAACCTTTAAATTGAAAAATGCAAAAGAGAGCTTCATATAGATCCTTTATTCAATTCCACGCATTTTAAAAAGCGTTTGGCTTTTTAAAATATATACAGCAATTTACTCTAGTAACTTCTAACTAATGCTAATTACTCAGGACAAACTTGATTCAAGTAACTAAAAGCGAGGGGTCCACTTCTGGATGGCCAAAAGCCAATGTAATTTTTCAAAGCATCAGGAGCCTAAGGAAACAAGGAGAGGAGAGTGTGTGACAAGGTGTCACAAGGTATGAAAGAGACAAAGAAAGAAAGGTTGACACGTGACTATTTGGCACTTACTTCCTAGGTTATCTCTTATGCAACACGGAGAAAAACACATATTAGTTCAATTTATTTCAAATGAACTTACCTTCTCTCGCAGCTCATCAACACTACTGCTTTCCAACACAACCTCCTGAAAGGGATCCAGCTTCATTTCCGAAGGCCTCCACCGTCTTGACAAAACTGCAAGCTGGGACATGGATTTCATCTTCTCCACCCCTATGAAGATGCAAGATTAGGTCATCTTTCTCTTTTCTCTAGAGGCCCATAATTTGACTTTTCCTGTATGGCCTGACTAAACAAGATTTACTTCAAGTGTTCTGCTTAGAAAGTGCACATAAAAGATCCCACTTATCCCAGCAAGTTTTTGAGAATAGAATATTTCCTCTCTTCCCTCCAGTCTCTGAAGGTAATTCTTTACTCTTTTGCAAGCTCTCCTTCTACCAGGACTCCTAATTTCACTCCTTCCTGAGTCCTGCTGGACACTGCTCTATCAACTACTCTTTTCTCTGGATTGCCAATCTTTGCTTCTCTACTGGCTACCACCCCCACAATCTAACATCATCATGATCAAATCATCTTCACTTTATCTTCTTTTTTCACTCCGGCTCACACTAATCCCTCTCTTCTCTTTTACTCAAACCTTACTGATTCTTCAAAACCAGCTCAATTGTTACCTTTCTCTCTGGTGTACACGAGAGCAAACTGTACTGATTTGGTCCTTAAGTACCTATGATTTTGGAATTACAGGTTTGCAGAAATTGTGGAATTTCTGGTTTTCTTATAGACTGAGCTTTTGGAGTGCAATCACTAGTTCTTATTCATTTTTGTAGCACCAGAGATTAGCAGTGTCTGGCAATTTACAGGTCAATAAATGTTTCTTAGATTTAATCACATGATTTCACATGATTTATTTCTCACTCAACTACTTTGAAGCTAACATATATACTGAAATGATACTGACACAGATACCCACCATCCAGTAACATCTCCCGGCTAACCCATCTCTGCTAATACATACTCAATCCTCCCTAACAAGGGGAATTTCTTTGTCCTTCGCCATCCCTTCTTGGTCTACTCAGACACACTGGTTATTCTCTAAGGCCCCAGACACTCACAGAAGGAATCACAATCTGGAACACTTGCCTCCACATCATAGTAGATAGTGTCCTGGCTGTCCCTGACTCCCCTATTAACTTGTCAAATAATCATAGTTTTAACAATTGAAATTTAAACCAAATCAGATCGTAAATAGCATGAAATAGGTGAGGTGTTAGTATTATTGAACCCTTGGAAAACTATCATAATCTTATGATGTTTTAATTTCTAAGGGGAAAAAAAGGAAAATCAAAATCTTTCTAGGCAATAGCAGTCACAAAAGGACATAGAACTAGTTGTTTCCCTTGATATGATCACCCCAAAGCCAACTTTTCTCCCATTACCTCCTCCAAAAAACAATACTTTAAATGTTCCCATGTAGATCATTAAAAGCAGGAGGTGTGACAAACACAGGTCCTCTTCTGGGTCACTTTTACAGGCTGAACTGTGTCTCCTCAAAAAGACATTTAAAGTCCTATACCCTAGTACCTCAGAATATGACCTAATTAGGAAATAGGGTTGTTACAGTGGTAATCAAGCTAAAATGAGATCATTAGGGTGACTCTAATCCAACAGGGCTAGTGTCCTTATAATATGGGGAAATGTGGAAGCAGACACACAAGCATACACAGACGCACATCTCACATCATGTTCAGATGAAAACAGAGATCAGGATGATGCATTTAACAAGCCAAGGAACACCAAAGACTGCCAATCAACCACCAGAAGCTAGAGGAGGGCCATGAACAAATTTTCCCTCACAGCCCTCAGAAGGAAGCAAGCCTGCCAACACCCTGACTTCAGACTTGCAGCCTCCAGACTGTGAGACAACACATTTCTATTGTTGAAACCATCCAGTTTGTGGTACTTGGTCATTGTTCTCAAAATCCCTGGTAAATTATCAATACCACATCCTCAAAACAAAATCAGCCATAATGAAAAAAGAAACTAAATAACAAACACAGGTAAGAAAATGTTAGCAGAGTTTCCTGTAAAAAGTACTATAAATGCAAACTTGGAAACTGTCAACTTCCTGTAAGGAGAAATTAATATTCTCAAAATTAAATAAATATTTAAAAGGCAAATGCAACCCAGAGTAAAGATGGAAGAAAACTTGTTCTTTGATAAAAACTATAGGCTTCTATTAGTTCCAGAGCATTTCTAACTGATAGTTCCCCACAAAAATATGGATGATACCATCAAGAACTTCAAGGAAAACCTCCCAGTTGCTGGAGATATTAATGTCTTCTTCATAAATATGATAATCCAGAAAGACAGTGCCAGGGTTCTTCCATGTTTTTTTCCTTAGACGAAATCTACAAATGTGATAAGACATTTTAAACTACTATTACTTCAGATTGTTAACCTAAAAACAACAACATGAATCTGACATCGATGAATAATGAACTATATTTACATACAAAAGTCAAGTGATTATTCATTAAAATTTTGGGAAAATAGGAGGTGCCTGGGTGGCTCAGTCAGTTAAGCGTCCGACTTTGGCTCAGGTCATGATCTCGCAGTCCATGGGTTTGAGCCCCACATTGGGCTCTGTGCTGACAGCTCAGAGCCTGGATCCTGCTTCTGATTCTCTGTCTCCCTCTCTCTGCCCCTTCCCCCGATCACACTTTTTCCTCTCTCTCAAAAATAAATAAACAGAAAAAAAATTTTTTTTAATTTGGGGGAAACTATAATGAAATGTTCCCCCAATTTCAAATTTAGTATCCTACAGAGGAAGTGCAAACAAATTCTAATACTTTTGCTTACTTCTATTAATCTGTAGTATTAAAATTCTTAGTAGAGGAATTCTTTAATTCTGGTTTTAGAAAATCATACCAATCCATATCAAGAGACCACACAAGATTTCCTCTAATTGCTGATGACACTGTAATTTTACTTTACCTGTCAGTACTGAGCTCTAAACCACACTGCTCCCTGAGTTGAGGAATTAATTCCTCTTTTGATTGCCGTACTGTCATTCCTTTAGCAAACACAGCATCTAGCAGAAACTTGCATGGCTAGGAATACAAACATAAAACAATCAGAGAGCTGAACTGCACATTCAATAAGGGTACACAAGACATTTTATTTGCACTGTATAGTATGACAATTATAGGACTGAGTTTAGGAGCTGATCTTCCTAGGTTCAAATCTTGGCTCCACTACTTACTAAGTAAGCTATCTTGGGCAAGTTTACTTAACCTTTCTGGGCCTCCTTTTTAATTTTTTTTAATAATTATTTTTTTTATTTGAGAGAGAGAGAGAGAGAGAATATGAGCAGGGGAGAGGGGCAGGTGCCCCCAGGCCTCCTTTTTTTCATCTGTAAACCGGGGGTAGTGTCTTCCTCACAGAGTCATTGTGAAGATTAAATACCACATTCATATTTCTCTCCTTATAATAAAGTGATCGCAATTTTGAAAGTAAAAATCACTTTTATGGATTAAAATGAGGGAACTGCATACTACTTCTCCAAATATGTTCATTCATTGTCTCAGAAGGGACATTTTATCTACAAACCCCAAACGCAGATGAAACATTCACATATAAGAGATATGATGGGTTGGGGCACCTGGGTGGCTCAGTCAGTTAAGCGTCTGGCTCTTGATTTCGGCTCAGGTCATGATCTCATAGTTCGTGGATTTGAGCCCCACATTCGGCTCTGTGTTGACAATGCGGAGCCTGCTTAGAATTCTCTCTCTGCCCCTCCCCTACTTGTTCTCTCTCTCTCTCTCTCTCAGAAGAAATAAAGGAGACATGATGGGTGTTCAATAAACTCTCTGTTGGACAAATGAAGGCGTTTTATGAAAAATTTCTCCCTTTTCAGCAGTCCATCTTTATCTGTGATTTCCCCTTCTGAACATTCAGTTACTTGCAGTTAGCCAACTGGGGTCCGGAAACAAATGATCCTTCTGCCAAATCATCAGAAGATCAGTAGTAACCCAATGCTATGTCACAGTGCCTATGTCATTCCCCTTACTGCATCTCATCACACGCACATTTTATCATCTTACGTCATCACAAGAAATGTAAATATAATACAATGAGATTTTTTGAGAGAGACCACATTCACATAATTTTTACTACAGTGTACTGTTGTAACTGTTGTATTTCATTTCTGGCAAAAGTTAATCTCTTACTTTGCCAAATGTGTAAGTTAAACTTTATTAAGGTATACATGTCTAGGTAAGAGCATAGTGTATATGTAGGGAGTGGCACGGCACTATCCTCGGTTTCAGGCATTCACTGGGCAGTGGGTGGGGGGGAGGGGGGTCTTGGACACATCCCCTATGGATAAGAAGGGGGGAATACGGTCTTTGCTATTTAGTTTGCACATTTGTCTAGGTCCTCACTAAGATGTTATAAACATCCCCAAAACAGGGACTTTGCCTTTTTCTTCTGGGCATTTGTCTGGCATCTGTTACATGACCTTGGGCAAGTTACATAACTTCTTTGTGCCTCAGTTTCTTCATCTACAAAATGGGAATAATAATATCTACATCATAGCTAACTGATGCAGATTCAAGGAGTTAACATCTGCGAGCATATGGCATCTACGAGATAAATGAATGCCTGCTAAATACTGAAATGACTCTCTGAACGCAAAAAGTCCTTACATGCTCTACAGATCAACTGCTATCCCCCTGGAGCACTACGTGAGAATTTCTTAAAATCAAGCACAAACAAGTCTCCTTTTCAAAGCAGGAAATGTCTGCCTCATTCCAACATGTGTAACAATACTTTAAAGCAGAGGGAAGGCAAAGAAAGGCTTGAGGGCCACATTTGTCTGCTGCATGTTTTTGTAAATAAACTCTGTTGGGACACAGCTAATTCCACTGGTTTATGTATTGTCTACGTCTGGTTTTGTGCTACAGGGGCAGAAATGAGTGGCTGCAATACAGGCAATATGACCCGCACAACCAAAATAGCTTCTGGAAAGTGTCCTGTCTGTGCTTTAGAGACAGCAAAAGAAATGACAAGTCACAACATCTCTGAACTCTGTTTTTAATAACTAGCAGAAGTGACGTCATATTGCTCTGAAGCAGCTTACTTACCTCTTGCTCATTGACCAGCAGCTGGTACACTTTAACTCTGTATTCTCCTTTTTTAAGTGCTCTCCCCAGTCTAATTGTAATCTATAAATTAAAAACAGTTTTTTAGATGTATTACCTCTGCAGAATAAACAACCCATTCTCCCCACACTGTTTAGTTTGGTCTTCAAAAATTCTCTAGATTATGGGCTCTTTGAGAACAGGTGTATCTTTTACCTCTGATTCCCAGCACCTAGAACAGTAACTGACACACAGTTAACACTTAACAAATGTTTGTTAGATGAATGAAAAAAAACGACCAATCACTAAACATAAAAACAAAAAATGACCCTCTTAGGGCTATCTATTTAATCTTACTTGGAAACAGGCAAGATGTTCTCAAATCTATCATGTAAAACAGACTCTAATTATTTGAAATGATTTTAATCAACCTTATTGTCGTCTGAAAAGGATGAAAGTGTCTCGTTCAGCCGGACGCTCTCAAACTCCTGGTTGCTGGCATACACCCGGAAGACCTTGAAGTGAGAGGACAAAGCTCCAACAAAGGGCTCTAAGTGTTGTTTGAAAGCAGCCAGTGTAATTCTTTTATCAACATGCACCATCAGCCCTAAGTACAAAAAAAAACAAAAGCGAAACAAAAAAAGAAACCTCTTAGAATATAAATAAAACAGATCATATACACTTTATTATACTGTAAGCAGGGAAAAAACACCCCCTTCAGTTATTTGACTTTAAGCTAATACACAACGTTGCATGGACAAAAAAACACAGACACGGAGCATACGATAAAATCCAACAACTTCAACAACTTCCAACGTTCTGAGAGATTGAAGTGCTAATCTATTTATTTATATACGCTGCTGAGTCCCAAACCAAACTTCAGGAAAGTCTTTTCAATTACATACATTCCTAGTTCTTCACAGTAATAATGTAGGCTCTGGCTGGGTTCCAACCGTGCCTCTTCTGCTTCCCGGCCAGCTATGTGACCTGGGGCAAGCCACTGGCCTCCTTATACCCACTTCCTCATTTTAAAAATGGAGAGAGTAGTACCTACCTCCTAGTACTGCAGTGTGAATTCAGTGAGGTTAATATGTTTATCGTGCTTTTGGCACAGTGTCAGATATCTAGTAATTGCCTCAAAAATTGTTAGTAAATTTGGTTCTGGGATTTCTACTAGAAAAAACTGTCAAGATGAGCATATGATGATATCTGTTTTATCATGTGGTTGGACCGTAACAGGAAGAGCATCTAAATGGATCAGAAACTCCCACCACCCCCCTGCAAGCTTTGATATAAGCTCTCATGGCAAAGCAATAGGATTGTTTTTGGTGAGCTTTATTTCTTCTAATACTTATTAATCTTTTGTCCTTTACAAGTTACTCATGAACATACTTCTGAAATATTTCTAAGACTCCAGTCTTCATATCCTAGTAAAGAGTAACAATTTCACTCAAGTTCCTCTCTCTCTTACAATATAGACAGTGCAGTATAACAAGAGCTGCCACCCCACCTTAAGCCCGTGGTTCCTCTAGAGCTATAAGGCTCTCTCTAGGGTAGGCTCTGGTTTTCTGTAAAATTTACATCAAAAGTCAAGGGTGAGGGGCACCCTGTCTGGCTCAGTCGGTTAAGTGTCCCACTCTTGACTCCAGCTCAGGTCACACAATCTCATGGTTCATGGATTGGAGCCCCGTGTCAGCCTCTGGGCCGGCGATGCAGAGCCTGCTTGGGATTCTCTCTCTCTCTCTCCCCCCTCCCTCCCTCTCGGCCCCTCCCCCAAGTGTATGCTCTCTCTCAAAAAAAAAAAAGAAAAAAAAAGTCAAGGATGAGACCCTCAAACATGACTGGTTTATGTTCCCAGGTTGACCCACCTTTTGGGTTGATGAATTTTTGAGTGGACTTTTTCAAATAAATTAATGTCCATTTACTGTTTTTCCGGTTATAAGATTCAGATTCACTATAGAAAATGTGACCATAAAGTATGAAATAGAATATAAACATGGTGATGAACTTTTTTGTTATATATAACTTTTCAGGCAGCATTTAATTCCTTTAAAATGTCCATTTCTAAAATTTAAGAAATACTCCTAAGTAACCCAGCTTTTGGCAAATAAGCCTCTATTTATACTATCCAGCAGGTACAACATTTCTTGAGAGAAGGGTATAATGAAAAAATTACTTGATTAGAAATCAGAAGCCAATAACTAGATTTCAGTTGTTGCCTAATAAATGCCTATTGGTAAGTCATCCAATGTCTCTGGGCCTCAGTTTTCTCACAGGATCATTACACCAGTCTCACTGATTGCTGCTATGACAAATGTAGTAAATTCTAAGTCATTACTCAAACAATAAGCTATTACCACAATTTTGGTTTCTAACTCACAGTAATGTATCACAGGAAGATACAAATGTTTGTTGTTATTGATAGAGTCCAATACGGTGATTAGGACCAAGTGGTTCTGTAGTGAAATGGGCTGGCCTGAATGAATTCTTGGCTCCTCCTTGTACCTTACATTTGTGACTGTGACTTGACTTCTCTGTACCTCAATTACCTCTATTATAAAATGCAGATAGTTGTGCTTATACCTTGGGGTCAGTGTATGTCAAATGTGTACTACAGCCCTGGCAAAAATTGTTGGCTTAATTGACTGGCTGTAATTATAATTTTAGAGATTACCATCATACCATTTTCCCTATTTACCTCTTCAAACTGAAGCGTTTGGTCTCTTCACAGAGCAACCTCAAAATATCTTTAGGGTTTCTTTCTTTTATGTATCTCTAAATGAAGTGATATCAAAATTGTACAAAGAAATTATCAGTGCAAATGCACTCTCATTTTTATTACCTTGATCTCCCTATTTATCCCTGAGTGCCTGCAGCCTATAATAGGTCACAGTGGAACAGTATTTTCAGAGAAAGGTCCATACTCCCCGAAACAATTCCTGGATTATAACAGACAGCTTAAAGACCATCACTTTAAGTGTATTTCAGTTATTACCCATATTGTCTATACTGTACATAAAATGTCACTCTTCAGATATCAAATTCTTTGTTTATGTGTTACACCCTGGCATTTTATCACTCTGAAGAACCCGTATTATTATTCATCATCCATGTTACCCAGGTACCAACTTTCAGGTCTCTGAGGAGCTGTGATGAAACAGTCTTAGTACAGACTCCTGAAGCACGTGGCTGCTGGCTCTCAACCCTACTCCTCTACCTCTAAGCCCGTTTCCACTTTTTCTGTTCAAACAAGCCTTCTGCACGGCTTCTGAAAACCAAAATAAATTGTAGTAAACGGGTTCTCTTGATCATCATGTTTACTATTTCAACGAATGCTAGTAAACTAGCCCACTATGAATTTCCAAAAAGGTGGAAGGAGACTCCTCAGTCTACAATTCTAAGTATTCCTATTAAATTCTTAACGTTTAGACTCTCATGCAGTCAACTCTCCAGCACATCATTCTAAAACAAACCACTTAAGAGAAATTTCTAACTCTTTGTAAAAAGGAGCTGTTTTTAATTTGCTAATGCTCTTGAAGGGTTGAGGATGGTAAGAAAGGGTAGCTACTGGCTATTTTTCCTTTACTCTGACGTGAGGAAAGTAAGGGACAGTGGGTAGCAGTTATGAGGTGGAGAAATGTGGACCAGGCTTACAATCAGATCACAGGAGCTGGACTGACCAGCAGTGTGACCTACTGGCTGTGTGACCCCCGGCAAATTATTTAAGTCAGTTTGAGCCAGTTTCTTCATCAGCAAAAAGTGTCTAACGGCATCAATTTCACACAGCTGTTGAGAAATAAGTGAGATGATGTGAATTAATGAGCCTTATGAAGTAAAAGTGCCACAGGGAGTTAAAACATTATTATAGAGTTTCTGTCTCCGTTGTGGCTCACGAACCCACATTTTCCCACTTGAGTTTCTGCAAGGTATCTATATGGATGTCACATGGTTCCAGTGTTACTGGGAACTAATTAGTTAAAAAGACAAATTTATGCATTTTTATTACTGATTTAATAATTTCTACCACTTCCTTTTAAGAGACTAAATTTTGAGACTATAAGCATCGTAGCAATTAACTTTCATGGTGGTTGTGGGCCTTCTCCCACCAGATGAAACATGAGGCTGCATCTTTGTCATCTCCACTTCTAACATCTACGTAGGGCCTGGCATCTTGAATGGATTCAGGAAATATTAATGGGGGGGGGGGGGGGGTGGATGAACAGATGGATAGAGTGGGACTCCCTTCCCACTGTCATAAAGGTAACAGCAAATGCATTCAATTCAAAGACTTATATTCTAGTAGTGGTTCCACTCCTTACTAGCTACACATATACTTTTGGGCAAGTCATCCATCCACTATGAGCTTCAGTTTTCTTATCAGTCAAATGAGGATATCAATATTTGCTTTACTAATTTCAGAGAAGCTTCAAGTGAGAACAAGTGTTTTGAAAACTAAAATTAAGAATATAAGGGGTAATATAATGCAAAGTATTTGGTTTTTTGAGCTATTTCTCTTTTATACTTGAAGAAAACTTTTGTACATTCTTTGGCTGTTTTCATCTGATGTTTTATAAAAGTCATTTTATTGTTTTCATGTAGGTGTGTTTTTGCTGTTGCTGCTTATCCCAAATACCTGAACTGACAGATCTCTTCAATGTTTTTGTGATTATACACTTGAGGATTTCTAGTTTATACTCTGCTTGGAGCTTACTTCAAAGTATCAACTTAAAAAAGCCCCTTTCCTTTTTCTGACTTTCCCAGTTAACCATGGACTTTTTAGGGGGTGGGGGAGGGGGTTATTTGCATTGAGGGATAAAGAGAAGAGAGGGGATGCACAAATAAAAACTTTTCCTCAGCAGTGAATACCAAATTTTATCTTTTTGGTATATTATTTACTTTTTAAACTATTTCTTAGTTTTTAACTTAGGGCTTTTATCATAATTCTTTCCTTTAAAACAATTCTTGATTCTTTCCTTTAAAACAATTCTTAATTCTTTCCTTTTCTTTTTCACTTATCTTCCCCAGAGCTGTGACATCACTGCTGTCACAGGTCTGATGTGCTGCGGAGGTCCAAAGACAGTTGTTGCTACAACTGCCCCGAAAATGAAAGCAAAGGCAACAGAGAACACTCTTATAATCCAGGAAGTTATGGGTGATCCTAGAACAAAGTACCTAACTCTTAGCTGGTTCCTTTCTTAACTAAAAATTTAAATAAACTGAGAAACCAATTGGTGCTGTTTCAAGGAGTTTTCTTTCTAAGTACATACATTTATGTCCTTCCCCAGAACCTTCGTCTGCAGCATAGGGTTCTGCTTTGAAATACATGTACTGTATTTCTCCCCTGCTCTTGCCACTCTCATCGTATTCACTATCCGTTCCAGAGTCTTCTTCTGCTGTGTCCCATGTCTCTTTTTTGCCTTCATTTGCTTTAGTTCTTCTACTACTCGTGATGCTATGAGAGTCAAGTCCATTAGCCAAAGGAATCTGAGCATTATCAGCATTGCACAAAGTGTCACTGCTGTGACTGGAGCTAAGAATGTCACTGTCCACTGAACTTGTACTCCTGTCATTATTCACATCTGAGTCTGATCGTTCTTCAGATTGAAAATTTTCGGGATCAGAAGTCTGAATGTGCTGTTCAAGTTCTCTATTGTCCACTGATGCTGAAGAGTCCCTCTCATTGAGAGGTGATTCTATGTTTTCAAAGTCACTTGTCTCAGTACTTTTGCTGCTGTCTCCATTATCTCCATCTTGCTGCTGCTGTAGTGACAAGCTTTTGAGTTTTTCAGTGCTTTCTTCGAGAATAGCTTCCACAGACTTGAGGCTCCCCACAGGTCCTTTGACTCTATCACAGTCATCATCCACGTTACCACCAGAATCACCCCCAGCTTTCTGGCACGCTGTCCTTTTGGAATAAGAGCCTGGGGACTGTTCAGGTAACAAAACAAATAATCTGATCGTATTTGCATGACGATCCAGGAGTTTCCACAAATGAGAGTCTGTAAAGGCCATCTGGTAATCCAAAGTCTCAGAACTTTCAACAAATACCTAAATAGTAAGAGAGTTACATTACATCATTAATTTTAGTGACATTCATTCTCACTCATATCACCTCAATACAAGACAAAATGTTGTAAAATTTGGGATGATGACATTTCTAAAGGAAATGTGTATGGTTTTTGGAGACTAAATACAATAAATATTATGTTCATATGTCTTTGTAATTAGCCATAAAACTGTGCTAAGATAGATGAGACACACACATGTGCACATGCACACACAGATACCTTGTTTACTGGATTTTCTATTTTCAGAAAGTTTTTGTATTCCACATCTTGCTCATTAGAAAAACAAGCATAGCATGAACATGGATAGAGGAACATGTATAAAGGCATTTTGGGAATGTAATACCAAAATCCAGATTATAGAAAAAAAATCTAATGGACAAATGACTTGATTCTAGAGCAAATAAATGACAAGGAAATAAATACACATGGGGGATCTGTAGGTTAAAATAGACTTGAGAGGTATATCATGGACTTTATTTGGATCCTACCTGAACAAATAAATCCTGTCAGAAAAAAAATTTTACAAGATAATAAGAGAAGCTTGACTAGACATTTGTTGATATTAATTCTGTTAATTTTCTAGATGTAATAATATAATTATAGTTATGTTTTTAAAGAGTTCTCACCCTTTAGAGATAGACATCCAGATTATTTATAGATGAAATGCTATTTCATCTGGGGATGTTTTTCAAATAATCTGGGGGAAGTACTGGTTAAATACAGATAACCAGTGTCCAATCAATGTTACAGATTAGGATCATTAGCTAACCATTTAAAGAAAAAAATAAAGTGAGATCCCTCTTACTTTTCACCCTAAAATGGTATTAGGGCGGATTTTAATGATACACACATAAGCACCACACAAAAGTATCCAAAGAAAACAGAGATGAATAAAAATTACACCTTAGGAATAGTAAGACAATACTAAAAAAGGTTAAATGAGATAAAAGACTAGACTGCACTAAGATGAATGAGAACGGAAAAGGCAATAAATAAAACATGGCAAACAGGGAAAATTTTGGATTCAATTGATCCAGGGTAAACTGATGGTGTTATGAATAAACACACAGGAAAAATCATTTATCAATGATAGAACACGTCAAGAGATGAAACAGATCAATGTGAACTTTCTCTTTTCTATCTGAGATAAATAAGTAGGCAAAGGGTGAAACCCTTTGGGTGAACCCAAATGACAATCTTCTCTAGAGTAGGCATGTCTTTGACTTTCCCCATCAAGTAGTGCTTTATGGGAGAAGCTCAAGAACGAATGTAACATAATTTACAGAATTCAGAGGACAAGATTGTTGTGGACAGAAATAGTCAGTAAGGCTTCACCAAAGAGGCAGGACTAATCTGCGCCTTGAAAAAAAATGTAGGGAGAGGGGGAAGAATACTGCAGGCAGGCAGAGGTAGCTCATGAACAAGACCTAGAGGAGAACCGACAGACGGATGGAGTAGGACAGAAAGAAGCCTGATCTGACCTGATTACAAAGGAAGGTAATTGCCGAGACGCTGGGAGAATTTACGAGGGAAATTACAGACACATAGTGGATGGCTCTAGAGGCCAGACTTATAATATGAAACTTAATTTACTATTACCAGCATAGACAATAGTAATGAAGAAATAAAAGACATACCTTGTTACTTCTAAAAAACCCTTCAGCTTTCAGGGTCTTACTGGGCACAGTGAGGAGGCGCAGATCATTGTGGCAGCGCTCTAGCACTATCCGCATGGTTTCAGCAGGTAAATGGATGGCCTGCAATGGAAGCAAGTCAGTAAAAAGGACTCGCAAGGATAATTCTGCTGGACTTGGAAATGTGGATGAAGACACACTGCTGAGTTCTTAGAAACAGAAAGAAAATTAAAAGAAAATAATCTTAGTGGAGGTTTATAAATTTTTAAAGAATCTATGGGAAAAATTTTAGTCCTATCCATTAATTATGCTGTAAAGTAGGTGAACAAAGTATCACTTATGAATGGATGCTCTGAAACTATTTTAAAGGTAATGATTTTTCACTAAAAATTCTATTCCTCTCGCACTTGCAAAGTAAATGAGGGGATGTGGTTCCAAAGAAACTGAGTAACTGACACTTTGAGAACAGATGTCAAACTAGTAACTGTTTACCTCCTGAACTTTTGATGAATTCTTTTGGAATAGTTAATACTTTTACTAAATCATTTTTCTTCTGTGTAAAATGAGATTAAATTAATAGGTAAAGTTTCAAGTTACTCTAAAAGTACATGTCCTTAATCTGAGGTATCATTTTAGGAATTTCACAAGAAATGAGCAGACAAAAAAATTTACATTTAAAAAAACATGATGTGTTTTCAATACAACTAATGATAACTAATTCTTTGGTGGTCTAGTTAGACTTTATCTGCTGCCTTTTTTGGCAAAATACTTTGTGACTGCCTTTATTCTCTACAGATATATTCTCCCCCAATAAAATTATTAACTTCTTCAGGAAGGCAATGTCATATGTTTCTTTTGTATTCTACCTCAATGCTCATACTCTAGATTAAACTGTAATAAGGAGCAAGTACACTTATATAGTCTTTCTAAGAGCAATTTAATTGTAAAATCTATCTCCAAAACATGATTTATCTCCTCAAATTATCTATTACTTTGGCAGAAGTATTAGAGGCCGTTGTTTTTTTAACGCAATAATAATTAAAACCCAACTTTTATATAATAACAATTTTTCTCCACAAACAGAGCATTTATTTGTTCCATTAACATTCACAACAACCCTGTTAAAATAGGCATTAAAAAAAAAACAAACAAACAAACCTAGATGAGATCAAAGACAATACTGCCATAGAGGAATGACTAGAAAGTGGATCAACTTCTTGCTTGCTATTACTGAATAATTTCCACTACAGCAAGTCATCTAAACCTGGGGCTTAAGAATCCTGAAAAATTTCACCTGTGTTTGTGTGCTCAGTGTTCTACAGAGTACAATATAATCATTTCTCTAGAGTGGACTAGCTTGGCCCAAGGAAATTTGAATGTTTTCATCATATTTTTCCAGCTCACAAATTCTGAATGAGTCTATGTTCTTTATCACTAACTCACCGAATATGGCCAGTATTTAATTCACCACCTTCCCTGTCAAATCTGCTCCCCTACCCTACTCTTCCATTTTGATTACTAGATCACTACTTTGTGGCTACCCAAGTTCAAAACTCCTCAAAGCATCTGTGCTCCTTCTTGCCTTACTCCAACCAATCCCAAGTCCTGCAGATTCTATGCATATAATCATTCTTACAATCTACCCCTTCTCTCCTTTCTGGTCCAATGCCTTCACCTGCACTATTTCCACAGCCTCCTCATCTACTTTACGGACTCCCCCTCTATCCAGGAACTTACCGTTCTACAGCAGAACTGTCATCATACCACTGCTGAACTTAGGAAAACAAATAACATACTTCCCATTGCCCACATCAAATAGAGCCCATGCTTTTGTGTTTACTATTTAAAAACTCTCCATGAAATAAACTAACTTCTATTTCTAGGCCTGTACTATACAGAGGTTGAGCCAAACACATAAGCCATCACTGTGTGCGCTTGCCTCACACTTCCTGACCTCCATACTTTGGTCACTTGGTGTCTTCCACTTGAAGTGTGTTTCTCTTCTAACTGTACTTGCCTCCTGCCAGTAAGTACTAGTTCCCACACTCATAACTATCACACAATGCTTTGTACAGAACAAGCACTCAAAAATATTCACTGACCAATTTTAAAACTTACCTTTGAAATAAGCTGTTTGAACTCTGTGACCGTTTGATTTAAGTAAGCACGAACAGTGACAGGAGCAGCTACAGATTCTGCCTTAAGATCAACAACATGAACTTTCACCATCACTTCTGAAAAACACAAAACATTTGAAAAATACAAAAACATAAATGGATGTTATTTTTAAAAGTCATGAGCACTGACATGAGCACTGCATTCCTAATGTATTTCCAATAGATGGCAAGGTAATATTTTCCGAACTATTAAGATAGTAGACATAACAATGTTACACATGTATATAATACATAATAAACTTCTCCTTGCAAGGTATTACATTACAAACATCTACAAAGAAATGGGAAATGAGGCTAATAAAAAAGTTCTCCTAGATCTCTTTAAAACAATGACAACAGTCACAGGGAGGGGGACAAAACATAAAAGACTCTTAAATATGGAGAACAAACAGAGGGCTACTGGAGGGGTTGTGGGAGGGGGATGGGCTAAATGGGAAAGAGGCATTAAGGAATCTACTCCTGAAATCATTGTTGCACTATATGGATTAACTAATTTGGATGTAAATTAAAAAAACAAAACAAAACAAAAAACAATGACAACAGTCAAAATATGATTTTTGAAAAATTCATGGTTTGTTTCCTTGTAAAACATAACACAAATTTATCAACCACATTAAAAATGCATATCCAGGTACTCCTGGGTGGCTCAGTCAGTTAAAGCACTGACTCTTGATCTCAGCTCAGGTCATGATCTCACAGTTAATGAGTTCAAACCCTGCACTGGGTTCTGTGCAGATGGTGTGGGGATTCTGTCTCTCCTTCTCTCTGCCCCTCCCCCACTTGTGCACTCATGCTCTCTCTCTCTCAGAATGAATAAACAAACTTAAAATACATATCCAAAGTTGCAAAATACAGACCTAAACCACAACATTAAATTACTAGAGAATGCAGAACAAATTCTAAAGGGGACCCAGCAACCCTATTTGCTTTTGATCAACCTTCATTATACCACTCAAGACCTTGTTCATAATCAAAGACTTCTTCTCCTCCAAATAATATTCTCTACATTCTACAGAAGAGTCTACAGAAAAATGCTTTGGTTTACATGGTTTGTTTTTTTCACTTAAATTTTTCATATTACAACTTAATCCTATCTTCTCTTCTGTTTTCAGATTATATATAACTAAACTTTTAGTTACTAGAAAAGCAAATGATCTTCAAACACTTAGTTATTCTCTGGCTTAAATGTTTTAATTTCCTTTATGAAGTGTATATAAATGGTCAGGTTTTTCCCTAGATTTCTAATCTAAATCTGATAAAATATTCTGCTAAAGTCATTATTAATGAATAAATAAAACGCTATCTGCAAGTTTTACAATCCACACTCACACGTATAGTTCTCTTTTTCTTTTTTTTTTTAAGTTTGTTTATTTTTGAGAGAGAGCGTGAGCAGAGAAGGGGCAGAGAGAGAGGGAAACACAGAATCACAAGCAGGGTCCAGGCTCTGAGCTGTCAGCACAGGGCCCAATGTGGGCTTGAACCCATGAACCGCAAGATCATGACCTGAGCTGAAGTCAGACGCTGAGCCACCCAGATGTCCCTAAAGTTCTCTTTTTAAAAAGTGGTTTTATTGCTGACTCATGTTACACTTTAATCATCATTTTTGCTATCTAGACCAAAAATAATCTGCAAGGAAATGCTCCAAAGGAACTCTCTACAAACAGAACAGAGTCTGACTGATGGAGCCCTGAAGAGTACCATACTTAATCTACTTTGAAAAGAGGAGCCTTAATTAAAAAAAAACAAAAAACAAAGAGAGGTTTATAGCATCTGCAGAGAAATAGAATTTGAGAGTAGAAGGCTTTTTACTTTTGCTTTTTTGAGAGAGCCAAAGAGAGCATGCAAGCACATGCACAAGTGGGGGAGGGGCAGAGAGAGGGAAAGAGAATTCCAAGCAGGCTTTACTATCAGTGTGGAGCCTGATGAGGGGCTCAAACTCATGAACCATGAGATTATGACCTGAGCTGAAATTAAGAGTAGGACACTTACCCGGTTGAGCCACCTAGGCAGGCGCCCCCAGAAGAAGGTTTTTGTGAGTTCAATTTTTAGGAATAAAAGTAGAGAACATAAGTCTGAATTGTAACAACCAATAGAAGGGATTCAGGGTTATGCAACAATAGTGAGAATTCTCTAAAGTTACTTAAACATTTTTATTTTCCCCTATTTGTTACAGTTTACATAGTGATTACTAGAAAACTCTGGTCATGTAACTGTCTTTAGGGACTACTCTGGGTAAAGCTAGGAGTGTGGTATTTTGCTTTCCACATCAGTCTCAAACAAACAAACAAAAAAACCCTCAAGATATTGAGGACTGTGACAGATTTAATGAAGACAAAAAAAAAAAATGAAGTTCCTGGGACCTGCAAAAATGGAGAAGATGAAGAAAAATAAAAAGTGTTGGCAGCAATGGGTTATGAAACCACTTCATCAAGGAAACCCTGAAAAATAAGATTCTACTTCTGAGAGTTGATGAGACTATACTGTTTTTGGACTTTTTTTCTGTATAAATAGAGAGAAGGGGGGAAGAGAAGGGAGGATGATTCAGCACTGAAAAACAAAAATCCCACTGAAGGCTGCAAGCTAATTTTTTAAAATTTTGTATATAGCTCTTTGCAAGTAATCTAGAAGTTAATTCTAAGCTTGTTGCTACTTCCTAACCTATCAAAATTATTCTGCATTTTAAGAACATAAAAAAATTTAAAATTAAACTCATTTCTATTAAAAAACCTTCTCGTGAAAATTTTAAGTCCAGTACAACCGTAAAATTCTTTACCTCCAGGTTTGTAAGACTGGAAAACTTGGTCAGGTTTTCTCGTCTCCAACAGTAGATCAAACATGTATGTTGACTTGACTCCTCCTAGTAGAAGTCCCATTGGGGTATCTTCCTCTCCTTCATACGATCGTTCAAGGTAATCATGAAACTCATCATATTTAACAAGGCGACAGCAATCCATGGGTATGACCTCTTCTAAATCCATCATCTAAAAGAAAACAAGGCCAGGCGGGGGACACACACACACACACACACACACACACACACACACACACATATAGATATATGCACACACACACATACACACACATATATACACACACACACACACACACACACACACAGATATATGCACACACACACACACATATATATACACACACACACACACACACACACACACACAGTTTAGTTTGATGTGTAATTCCACCACCAATAGGTCCTAGCAAACAATAAAATTCATATATTTATGATTTGCATCAAAGTTCAAAGACATCAAAGTTAAAGGCATAACTTCAATGCTATTTTTAATTATTTCATTATCCCCTAAATAATGCAACTTATGCACTAACAAATTTTTAAAACATTCCTAGTTTTAAAAAAAGTTAACATTCTAAACTTTAGATGAACTCAAAATCAATGTATTATAATCCCTTGCTCTATAATCACTACTCTGGAACCCAGGGGAGAACAACCAAGAGAATATGCAGCTTCTGTTGCATTAATCCGATCTGGAGAAGAACTGGTGATGACATGTTTGGGTTTAACCATCTTTCTAAGCGCAGGGGATAGCACTCCTCGCAGAGCCACCAGAGAGGCCACAGCTTCCGTGTCTCCCATGCGCCACCTCGCAGCTCCCCTTCCATATGAGCCTCCAGCATATCTACAGCTCAGGGCATGGAATTTCTGTCATAAAATCTCCCTCTGGCCCATGTTACTGGTAGATGGCATACTCTGGATGCAACATCTCTTAAGTGAAAAATGAACTGCCTGGAGACAGAAAGGATTACTTCAAAGTATTTCATACTTATTTAAGGTTTGTGATTAGGACCTTCAAGAAAAACAGTAAGCTTTGGTGTGTGTCCCCACCGACCTCTATTCCCCCCACTCCTCCCAAAGATGGAGCTCTCTTTCTGGTACATAAGACTGACTTATTTCTCTCTTCTGTTTGTTTGACTCTTTGTATTTATGAACTTTTACTTCTGACTTTTAAGACAATCTTTGTCTTCCTGCATTAAAAACTGCTGGAATATAAACTACTGTTACTGCTATTACAGACTGTAAAATTGTGTAAAAACTGTTAAGATGTTTTCTCTATTTTAGTTTCATTTGGTTTCACTACTGTTTTGCAAAGATGATGCTTACAGTCCACTGTGTTTAAAGGATTTTTACTTTTAATGAGGTAAATCCGGAGCTATGTATCAATTTTACTGTTTGTTCATTCATTTGCTCATCCACATACCCACCCAAATTTTCATTTTCCTGCACACCAAGAAAAAGTACTGGAAATGCAATTGTGAGCAAAACCAGAACACTGTAATGTAGCCTGCAATTTTTTCTCTAACTAATGACTTTAATTTCAGTTCAATGATGTTCATATTTACATGGAAAGGGCAAAAATTTGTCAAGTATGACAGACAACATTTGGAATAATCTGGTTAAAGAATGCTTCCGTTTCTATTTGCCTTTCAAAACCCACTAATAACTTTACATTATTCTTAGAATAAATTGCAACCTACTATTTGTATAAAGTCTCTAATTTGATTTTAAGCTACTCTCCTCTCATTCAAGACAATCTAAATACAATGTCCCTTTTATCAGTTTTTTGATCACGGCGGCCACGACCTCATCTCAGTTTTCACACATGTTGTTACCTCTACTAAAATATTCTCCCCAACTTTTTGCATAGCTGCCTGCTTCTCATGGTTAACATCTCAGGAGAAATAATCTCAATATATTACTGACTTACTTTACGGCATCTAAACAATAAAATATTTGCAAATTGTGGGAGGGTCTCAATGCATATCTGTTAAATGAATGAAAAAGAATAAATGTTTTTGTTTCTAATTCTAATTCTTGGTTCTACAAAACTGAACTGGCTTTCAGGGTGAGAAATTTCTCCAACTCAATTGGGTATGTTCCAAAGAAGATGTATAAGCTACACCCACTGAGAGAGAGATGATGTAAATAGACTATCAAGTTTACTGCAAGTGCTGATATTACTACTGGCCATAATAAAAATTTTGGAAAAGAGATTACTATTGTTACCTAAGATATCAATAATTAAATGTCAACAGTGCAATTAAACATACCTTATAAGCCATTTCTACTGCTTCCTTTAATGTCTTATCCTTATGAACCTCCAATTTATTTTCCATCATTACTTGTTTCACAGGATGCAAACAGAATAATTTTATCTAGAAAATGTAAAATAGTGTCATCATCTCAGCAAGTCATCAAGTCAAAATGTAATTCTTCTGCAGACAGTATTTTTTCCTAATAGTCAAAATATTACAATTAAAAAAATATATAACTTAAATCATTCTCTTCCATGTCTATTTTTCTCAACAACAAATATAGTGATTATATTTCATCTTATAAGAATTCAAAAACATTAATTTTAACAACTGCATGTTTCTTTATAAGCATGTATCATAATTTAAGTAATCATTCTCTTACTGACATACTTTCAGGTTGTTTCAAGTTTTTCCCTTGTTTGGAAAATACTGTGATCAATGTCCTTGCTGCCAAAATTTTTATAGCATCTGTGATTATCTCATTAAGAGATATTTTCTTAAGAGAATTCCATTAAAAAAGATGAATTTGCTTAAGGCTCTTAAGATAAGGTTTTTACCAGCTTATTAGTCTTATAGCAGAATGTGACAACGCTTGCATCACTGTAACCTTACCAGCACTGAGTATTATCACTACATGTTAATGTTTATTAATGCATAAAAATCAGATCTTACTTCAGTAATATAGTTGGTTGTACTGCTTAATGAAATGATAGTATAACTGCCTACAGAATCAGCCCAATGAATGTTACGAGAATTGCAGTTAAGCAAACTTCAATAGCGCATTTTAATTAAAAGTAAACTTAGGAAATCTAACCTTGCATGTATTGCGCTCAATTTCTCGTTGCCTTTTTTCTTGTTCTTCCAATTCTCTCTCCCTCTGCACCAAGTTTTTGATATGTTCTGGATATTCATCTACTTCTAGAAACTCTATTGTAATAAAAACAGGGCAAGACATAGTCACTGGAAATTGAGCTTCCTTTACATAATTTTGCTCTATTATGTTCCCACAGTACATATTTCTATGATAGCTCTCATCAAAACAGATCTCAATTACATTAATCTCTTAACTTAGAACATCAGCTTCTTCCAGACAAGAGTGAAGAGGTAGTTGATAATGGCACATGGTTATTAGGTCTCATACATTTTAAAAAACCACACATTTAATCCATAGTATCTCTTGGCTCCAGGACAACTCTGGCATGCAGATTAAGACTCTTAGAATGAAAAAGTCTCTCTGAAACTTTGAAATAAAATCATTTCTGATTTCATTATCACCATCAAATTGTGTGACCTTGGGCAAGTTTACTTCTCTAGACCTTGGTTTCTTAAACTTATTAATACATCTACCCCATAGAGTATTTACCTGGGATATAATACAATGTAATAAGTGTTATTATTGCTGCTGCTACTACAAATGCTATTTGTTATTATTCACTAATAGGCTCATCTTTCCTTTGTTCTCAAAACAATCTTTTAGCTACTTTCTATTCACAGAATTTTATATGTAACTCAAAGCATTAAAAGTGCCAATATGAGAATATGACACTATTTAATAACGCCAATGATTATCAGGCTTTAAGTAGGGAGAACAATTTATATATATACACACACACACACACACACATATTTATATATCTACACATATATATTTATATATATATATATGTAATCAAATCCCTATGGAACGTAAAAATCGATTATTTATAGAAATAAACTCTCATTGTAAAAATATTCCATATCATACATAGAGCACCCTCTGGTGTTTCAGCACAAAACTACATTTTTGGGGAGTAGATAAAGGAAAGCTGAGTTATTGCCCTAATGGAAATATCTGGAGTGGTGGGTGACACAGAGAACACAGGAAATAAAATCCTGGCTCTGCCTCCAGGTAGCTATGGTCTTGGACACGTTAACCTTTGGGGTATCATTCTTTTATCTGTAAAGTTAGAATGATTACTCTCCTCTGAAATCTCTGTTCTGAAATGACTTATTATAATTTCCTTTTTTCCCCATTAATTCTACAGTAAATTTTTTTTTCAATATATGAAGTTTATTGTCAAATTGGTTCCATACAACACCAAGTGCTCATCCCAAAAGGTGCCCTCCTCAATACCCATCACCCACCCTCCCTTCCCTCCCACTCCCCATCAACCCTCAGTTTGTTCTCAGTTTTTAAGAGTCTCTTCTGCTTTGGCTCTCTCCCATTCTAACCTCCTTTTTTTTTTTCCTTCCCCTCCCCCATGGGTTTCTGTTAAGTTTCTCAGGATCCACATAAGAGTGAAAGCACATGGTATCTGTCAAAAATATGGAACGCTTCACGAATTTGCGTGTCATCCTTGCGCAGGGGCCATGCTAATCTTCTCTGTATCGTTCCAATTTTAGTATATGTGCTGCTGAAGCGAGCACCTACAGTAAATTATTAAACAGCCACTATATGACAGACTCTGGACTCTGGATTATCATTAGTGAAAAGATAAATTAAGTCTTAAGCCTTATACCACAATCTAATGAGGATTTTCAAAAATATAAACAAAACATAAACTACCTAAAATAAACTTTACAGTATGGTAGTTTCTAAACAAAGGAAATACAGAAATCAAGGTCAGTGATTATAGTAATTATGAAAAAAATACAGGTCAACATATCACCTGTGTATATATCCACATGTACACACAAACACATCTAGTTATTTGCAATACTGCTTCAGAGTCAGCATTAAGAAAAAAGGGGAACTGCAATTTTTTAAAGTAATAATAAAAGACGAACCCACATACTTTGTATACAGGATTATTTTGAGGACTCTCAACACAATTAAAACATAATAGGGGCGCCTGGGTGGCTCAGTCGGTTAAGCGTCCGACTTCAGCTCAGGTCACGATCTCACAGTTCGTGAGTTCGAGCCCCACGTCGGGCTCTGTGCTGACAGCTCAGAGCCTGGAGCCTGTTTCACATTCTGTGTCTCCCTCTCTCTCTGCCCCTTCCCTGCTCATGCTGTGTCTCTCTCTGTCTCAAAAATAAACATTAAAAAAAAAAAAAAAACGTAATAAAGGATGCATACTAGACTCATAAAACTTTATTTGCTTTTTAAGCAAATAAACAAAGATATTTAACTTTAGCTCTCAGGAACTTTTAGAGTGGTAAGTCAGAAGTTGACTTTTTTAAGGGTCCCCATTCAAAGCATTTTGATAATAAAATACTCCAAAGGCTTATACCAAAAAAGCAGTCACAGCTAAATACGAGTTATTGGGGTGCCTGGGTGGCGCAGTCGGTTAAGCGTCCGACTTCAGCCGGTCGATCTCATGATCCGTGGTTCGAGACCCGTCAGACTGGGCTGATGGCTCAGACCTGGAGCCTGTTCCACCAATATTATTCTTCCACTCTCTCTCTGCCCCTCCCCCGTTCATGCTCTGTCTCTCTCTGTCCCAAAAATAAAAATAAAAAATGTTGAAAAAAAATTAAAAAAAAAAAAAAATAAATACGAGTTATTGTATGTACTAGTAGACATGATGCTAAATGCTAAAAAATGTTGTTTAATTTTTCATTATAATCCTATAAAATACTATGATTATCCCCATTTTACAGACGTGGAAAATAAGATTTAGAAAAGCTAAAAAACTTGCTCTAGGCCACCTAGATGGCGAGTCAGGGCTGCAACACAGATCTGGGATTTATCATCACTGAGCAACTATCTAACTGAAAATAAATACCCCCCTTTTTTAATGTAGAGTAAGTTTTATCTCTTAGTGTATTAAAAAATAGTTCAACTTTTTCCAAGTGTTTTCACCACTTGGTATTATCTCATAACAATCTTTATAATTAATTTTTCTAGGCACAAAAAACAATCATTTAAAAGTAGTTATCTGGGTTTGCCAAACTTATAAAAGAAATTAGTACAGATTAAAATCAAATAACTACATGCTAACATACTTGCATTTCGTGCTGGATCCTTCAGTCTATATATCAGCATATAAGCATTTGTGGAGCTAGTAGAAATATAAAAAAGATTAATGTCAACAAAAAGTAGATTGTAAAGATTCCATTTCCCAGCATCAAATATTTTAATAGTTTTTCTTTGTTTCAAAGAATTAGAAAACCATGTTAAGTGTTCGATGATAGGTTCAAACTTAAAACATTCTAGGAAAAAAAAAAGGAGAATCTACTTTGCTTTTCCTGACAGGTTTATGAGAAGATTCCACATCTCCTCTTGGTTACACAGTTAAGTCTTCAAAAAACCTGTGTCCTAGAACCACTACTACAGTTAAGTCAGGAGTCAGCCAGTTTTTTTCTTGGCCATATTGAAGTTATTTTAACTCTGTTGTTAAAGGGAAAAGATCAACACACAATACTTCAACAAAGGAGTATAGTGACATTCCAATAAAACTTTATTTCCAAAAACTAGAGGCAGGCAGGGTTTGGTCTGTGGGTTATAGTTTGCTGACCCCTGGGTTAAATTTCTTTAATGGCAAAAAAATGCTGAGGAGCTATAATTAACTCTAATTTATAAACAGTACAAATTAGGAAGTTATTTACCTTGCAAAAGCACTTGAGTAATATCCTCGGCTTCCTGAAGATCCACCATGTGTTTTCTTAATGTCCTCTTGTGTTATCTAAAAAGTTGTTACAGTGTTTACCTTCTTCTAAAATCTATAACATCATTACCTTTATGTCAACAAGTAAGCCAATTTTCATCTCAGAGTTAAAATGTACCGTACAACTACCAATTCACAAAATTTGATCAGAATCAATGGCTGCTACCAGCCAATTAGTTCTAGTGCTCAACAGGTAGCCCACATGAAGGCTCAAGATAAAAAAAAAAAAAAAAAAAAAAAAAAAAAAAAAAAAGGGAGTCTGCCTTTGGAAACACTTAGCAAGACCCAAACAAAACAAAACAGAACAGAACAAAATAAGTAACAATGATAAACTAGAAAATTTACTCAAAGCAAAAACAAAAGACTGACTTGGCATGTGTTTTAAAATGCTTCACTGGACAAACTAAGTCTCCCATTTTTAATAAAACCCTACTGTTGATTAGAAATAGCTCTACTCCTGTCTTTCAGAATAATCTTAAAAAACCCCTCCTTGGGTGCCTGAGTGGCTCAGGAGGTGAAGCGTCTGACTCTTGATTTCAGCTCAGGTCATGATCTCACGGTTCATGAGATCGAGCCCCATGTTAGGCTCTGCACTGATAGTGCCTGGGATTCCCTCTCTCTGCCCCTCTGGCTAGCATGCACACACATATGTTCTCGCTCTCTCTCTCTTAAAATAAATAAATTAAAAATAAAAAACCCTCCTTACCCTGCTGACATGTTGATCATTGAAGCTGTACCACTGTTCATCACTGAATGACTTTATACAAGCATAATAATGACCACCAGCAGCACTCCCTGAATGAACCATAACGGAGAAGAGCTCATAGATCAAGGAATTCTAAGAGGAAAAAACAAAAGTACCTCAGAGAAGAGAAAGAATTTCCCTTATTTGTGCATTTCCTATTCTCTATTAGTACAGAGTAAAATAATATGTTAGCTGTCCTAGATATTTATTGTAGGCACAATTCCCTCTAAGATAATTAAAATGGTAAAGTCATCACATAATTTTATACATCAGAGTTCCATTCAGTGCATTCCTTCACGTTTTAATTATGTTATAACCTCTGTAACTATGCATATCTGAAATATGTTTTTTTGTAAAAGTAAAATAATAATCTGAAATTTTAGAAGCAGTTTCTAATTAGAAGACTATTCTGGTATGCACAGTCAAGATCAAGAAATCACAAATAATGTTTTTATTCAAACAAGATTATTCCATTTCCTTTGCAAAAGAGCTGAGCAATAAAATGATTTGGAACATCTTCTAATGTATTTATGTAATATCTGTGATACAGTGATCTGCTGATTTGACATTTCTCAAGTATGCAAAGATGGTTCAATGCCAGAAGATCAATCTATTGTAATACAGGCTAAATTAGAAAAATCATGTGATCCTATATATCAACTGACTCAGAAAAAGCATTTCATGAAATCCAAAACTCATTCATGATAAAAATTTTTTTATCATGAATGGAAACCTCCTCAGCTTAATGAAGCACACCTACAAAAACCCTAGAACCAACATCATACTTAAAACTGAACACCTTCCTCCTGAGTTGAGAATAAGGCAAGAATGCCCTATCTCACCACTCCTATTCAACACTGTAAGAAATCCTACTTATAGCAGTAAGACAAGGGGGAAAAAAAAAGACAGATGTAACTGTTTATGTAGAAAAATAGGCAGAGAATTAGATTTAGACTTTGAGCCACAGTTTGCCAACCCTTGCTTGAATGCAGTGTTCTTTACACTAAGTTATAACATATCTGTTACATTATTCATTACATAGCAACTCATGATCATCTATCTGCCCTGAAATAGATAATTTTAAAAGGTAAATGATGATGGTGGTTGGAATAATGCAAGAGAAATTCTATTCTTAAATACTGCCTTAAAAACCCTGTATTTAATATGACTTTGCAAGACTTGAACTACTGCAGTCTTTAGGCTATTGATTCATAATTTATACATGCTCAAGACATCTGACCTATAATTCTCCCCTCAATAAAGCAGATTATATGAATATGAAAGAAATGGTTTGATAACATTTTAAAAATCACTGACACCATGACATAAAAGATTCTATAACAGAGATTATCAAATCTTGTAGTTGTCAAATTATAATCCATTGAACTGTATCATTTTTTTTTTTTTTTAAGTGCCTTAAGGGCTGTGATAGGGAGGCAAGAGAGGCTGAAGCCTTTGGCTTTCTCCTACCTCAGAAAGATCAGTTCTATTATTAACTATTTCATAAGGAGTTCCAGAGCCAGAATCTTAAAATGAATGGATGTAGCCAAATAACTTTCATTTTGCTGTATGAGAAAACTCTTATATAAAGATTTAGAGGCGTGGTGTAACTTTTAAGGCAGAAGTGATCTCCTTTTCCATACCACCCCCCAGCTACAGATCAGCCTCCAAAAATTCATGCTCTTGCCTGTAAGCAGTTTTTTCCTAAAGTTTAATTATGATCACATATGTACATTAAAAAAAAACAAAACAGCTTTAAAAAAGTCTTACTTTTCAAATATTACTTCTCCTAAGGAGAATTTATTGGTCACAACAGTTAGAGAATTATATAACAGCTCAGAGATTATTTTATTCTCTCAACTAAAACCCACAAACTATAAAAGGTACCTTTTCAAGTCCAGGTTTTGAAATTTTTTCAGTTCCACTATTACTTTCAAGGCAGATCCCTTCATCAACACCATCATCATTCGAAAAATCATTGCTCATCTGATCGCTGTGACAACTGCCTTCATTTTCTGCCCCACTGTCAGTGCAACTTTCGGTCTGAGGGGATTTCTTAATAAAACATAATTATCTTACAATTACAAGTTAAATAAAAAAAAACATACTCAGTAAAGCCTTTTCTCTACATGCTAACTTTTTCACATAACTTCAGATGTTATTAATAAAAATATCTATTTTAAGCAAATTTATCTTATCTTAGAGAGTGAGTCCTTAAATAAAATTAAACCAAAAAAAGTGTATTTTAGGGCCCAAATGTCCATCGACTGATTAATGGGTAAAGATGTGAGATATATACATATAAAAATGTGATACATATATATCATATGATATATACATATATCATAAGTATCATACATATATGTATATATCATATATGTGGTGATACACACACACACACACACACACACACACACACACTGGAATATTACTCAGCCATCAAAAAGAATGAAATCTAGGGGTGCCTGGGTGGCTCTTAGTCGGTTAAGTGTCTGAGAGTTGATGTGAGGGAGATGGTTGGGGATGGGCTGAATGGGTGACGGGTATTAAGGAGAGCACTTGTTATGATGAGCACTGGGTGTTATATGTAAGTGATGAATCACTAAATTTTAAGAAACGTGTATTTTAAAAACATTTCTATTAATGTCCTTAAAATTCAAATACAATGAATCAGTGATTCAGAATTCTAATTAAACCCCATTTATGTTTATAGTTGCAAAGTAATAACATAAATTACCATTTCTTTCACCAAAATCTGTAAAAGCTGTGAACCTAAATGCCAAAATGAGCTTTTGTTCTCAAATCCCAAAAGAATATCATCTCTTTTCTTGAACAAAAATGGAGATCATTCCTGACGCTCCTTTAGGCCAGAACATCTCTTCTCCCAAGATATGGACCTGGAACTTCCTAAAAGTTCCTGTCAAACTAGATCTAGGTTTTCTTTATTTGTAAAAGATTTCCTTTTACAAGAATATATTAGGTATATACAGAAAACTGATCCAATACTAATCTCTGTGAAGACTCCTGTAAAGAGGTTGTTTACTTTGGTATACCTTGGAAAGATTTCCTAGCTTAAGCACAAGTGTTTGAAATACTATTTTGAATTAAACTTTTCAAAAGTACCTGGTCATAGGTACCATTCAATGAACATCTACTTTATCTAAAGCACTCTTTTCATGAAAGCTATAAAGAGTAAATATTGTCCTTACTTTACAAAGTAAGGCTCAGAAAAGTTGTTCTTCTATGCCACATCATCACTTAATACTTAACAGCATTAACTAAAACTTCATGAATGTTTAAAATCACTTTTCAGCTCTTGGGAAATGGTATTTTTATAACTAGAGTGGTAAGTTCCAATCAGAAAAAAATGATTCACGGTAATTTTGAAAAAAATAAAGATTTATCACTTTCTAAGAACTCAAGTGATTGTAAATATTTCCCATAATGAAATCAGAAGTTTCCAAAGAATAAATTAGGATACTAAGAATCTTTTACCGAATAAGGTTAGGGGAATCAGAGATTTGCAGGGGTCAGTGAGTAGAAGAAACTGATAAGCATTACCTGTGCCCTTCCAAGTTACACTCTTCAAACTAAAAGTTTTGACTACAAAAAAAAAAACTAATTAAAAAAGGAAAACAGACAAAATACCTTTATTTTCTAGCTTTCTAACCTAGCCTATTTAAGAGGTGGCAAACTTTAGCTGAGAATAACCCAGAAACCTTAATCCTTGAAAATGACACTAAGACAAATATAAGATATTAAGGCCATACTACCCAATTTGCTCATTTTACTTACATATTTGTTGTGTTTATTATGTGCCAGAAACACAGTGCAGCCCACCTCTAGATTGGTTTCTTTCGCTAAGAAAGTTATGAAACATAAGATTATCGCTCAAATTAAAGAAGTAATTCCAGAGTTTGGGATCCTTTTTGTCTTTTCAAAGAATATTATGAGTTATTCTGATCAAACAAGATTATGTGAAATATAATTTATGGTGAGAAAAAAAAGCTTATACAAATTTAGATCTTTTTATATAACTTGCCATTACAAAATATGGAGAGAAAGGAAAACCTTCTATCAAGAAGAGTTTAAACAACACCAGTGTTGTTACCCCAAGTGGCTTTTTTTTTTTCAATATATGAAGTTTATTGTCAAATTGGTTTCCTCAAATAGCTCTTTTAATTAAACACATGACCAACCAAAATGGATTACTATCTTTTAACAAATAGGTATAATAAATATTTTACCTCATCTTCAACATCAATAAATGTACTCATATCTAGCTCCTCAGGAAACGTCATCCGATCATTCAACTTAATCCTGTGCATGGTTGTATAATCAAAATCAAACCTTTTCAACTGTAAGGTCAGCAGGTAAGGGAAATGCAAAAACCGAAGACCCTAAAAGAAAAGGGACCTATTGAATATTGAATATAAACTCAGGTAATCTAGTATTAATTTCTACATGGCATCTACCTTTCGTGCATCACACTTCTTCTTACAACGTTCACAAAAATATTGATTTGGGCCATCCAGGATCTCTGGCTGAATAAATGCATGCAATGCTTCTTCCTAGTAAGAAGAAAAAAAAATGACTGTTTTATAATTACTTAAAAACATTATAATGTTAAAGCCCTGAATATAAAAACTTTGCAATTACCAAAATTCTTAGAAGATGGCTAGAAAATTAGGAACTCAATATGCAAAAAGGAAAAAAACGATCAACAGCAATATCATTATAAAAACTGAGTGACAAAATAATTGCTTTAATTCTGCATGAAATCTGTTTCCTAGTACTGTACATCACAGTTAGTCATTTCCACCTAATTTTTGCTGACTTTACATTGTGGAATTTGGCTAAATAACCTAATAAAAATCCTATCTTTAGATTAAAAGTTCCAGAAGAAAAGCAGTTACATACATCACTGCAATCTTCTTGTAAAAGGAAACATTCAAAACTGTACAGTAAATAACAGAGAACTCTGAAGAATTCACACTATCCCTGCATTAAAAAAACCTAATAACCATCATTTATCACTACAGTTAGCATCATTCAGTAATTCACCACTGAACTAAAGACTGAAAAACACCGGACAACTTTCTCCCTGCATGTCAGATACTGCTCCACTTGAAAATGTAGGAGAGCTCCTGGACTGTTCACCTAGAGGAACCACGTGATTCTCTTCTCTCCATACAGCCTTAAGACAGAAGCAAGAAACTTAGTATAAACATTGGTGAAGAATCAGTGGGCATAAAATTTTTAATTTTTAATCACCGATTTTTCACAATAAAAAATAAATTTTAGTTAATACAACATATAACATCGGACTGCATCATCTCAAATTTCATTTGTTGTGATCTCTTCACACATGGTCTGATCAGAACTACTGACTATATTTACCTATATAAAGAAATTCTTTACTATATAAAGAAACTATCATTAGGACAAAATATCTTCAAATATTTTTCTTTTGATTCAAAACATGTTGTTCCTCAAAAGATAAATAAAGAAGCTTGATCTGGCAAAATGTGAAAGAGCTGGCAACACTTACAAAACTACTATCCACATATTGTTTGGTACAACTCATTTTGGAATTAGATCAAAAATATGAAAAGATACTCTAAATGCCTTTAACCCCATCCATCTTATATTTTGTTCTCAGAACACAAGGAAGTGACAGGGTGGGGGAAGGGGGGGAGGAGAACCAAATAGTGGGTGTTTTTCCACATGACCAAGCATTTTACTGGAGGTCAAAGAAAAGGACACATTCAGAATGATTTTTTTTCTTTCAAACACATTTTAGGCACGAAAAAGGCAAATCCTGTAAAAATGTAACACAGAAAAAGCTCTAAGAAAAATCATATATATAGCTTAGCATGGACTGATATCAAATGAGTCAAGCATTCCAAATTGAAAGTGAAATGTAAAACACTCAATACCTTAACCAAAAAGGTAGGGGGAGAAAATTATGGAACTCAGATTCTTCTTCACTGAACTGTGTGGACTGGTCTCTGGTTATAGTTCATAGCTAGAGCTATCTTCTTCTGATTTTTGCTTGTTTGTTTATTGTTATTTGTTTTTTGAAGTTAAAACTCAGAGAAAAGTTTAAAGAACTGAAAATGTCTGTAATTTACTCAGTTCACCAACTTTTAGTATTTTGCTACCCTTGCTTTATCATTCTCCCATCCCTACACACATTGTGTATTTTTCTGAAGAATTTGAGAGTTTTACATATCATGCTTTTCCTCTTAATAATTCTATATGACTTTTTAAGAGCAAGGATATTCTTACAATAGAGTTAGCAAACTCAGGAAAATTTAAGATTGATAAAGTACTTTTGCCATATTCCCATTCCATCAATTGTCCTCCTAATCCTAATAATGTGTTTCTCCCCAACTAGTAGAGAATTGAACCCAGGATCACAGATTACATTTAGCTGTCTCTTCAGATTCATTTTGTCTGGAACAGTTCCAAAGCCTTTCTTTCATGACATAAATGGGGTTTTTGAAAGAGGTGGCTGGCTATTTTATAAAATGTCTGCAATTTGGGTTTGCCTGATGCTCCTTATAATTAGATTCAGGTTCTGTATTCCTTACTAGACTACCACCTAAATTATAATGTGTCCTTCTAAGGGTATCACAGTCACAGACCATGATGTCCCCAACCTCCCTATTGGTGATAGGAACTTTAATCAACTGGACAAAGTGTTATCCAGCTTTTCCACTACATAGTTATTGTTTTATCCCTCGCAGCAATTATGTAATATGTAAGGAGATACTTGGAGACCATGCAAATATCCTGAGTCTTAAACTTTCCGCCCTAGATTTAGCGTCCACTAATGGATTCTTGCTTAAACCAAATTTTCATGTTTTATGAGCCAACTTAAAAATCTTTTTAATAGGCGACTTAAGACCATTCATATTGGATATGTTTTGTTTCATCTAGTTTATAATTACTGTATTAAGTAATATTTACTGTGTTCTTTTCTCCATGTGCTGTGTTCTGCTACTTCTTACATTTTCTTTTGGTATTTAGGAAGGTAATTTTGTTGTAGTGCATTTATTATACTTGTGTTTGCACCCTTAATCCCCATTTTTCCCCTTTTCTTTCCTTAAGCTTTTAGGGTCCGGTTTGCCAGTTTTAAGTGTCATCCTTTGTCTGTTACCCATTCAACAGTCTATGATCTCATTCTACTTTCTCTCATTTTCTCCCTTCCCCTTTTGAGTGGTATTCTTTTTATTTCGTCTTACATATAATATGTTATACTTCTACTTATGTCCCCACCCTTGTTCCATTTAGTCCTTACTTCTATAAATAAACACATTAAATGCTCATAGTCCTTTTGCTGAAGCTTCCCTGGGGATCTCTTCACTGGATGGAGTTTATCCCCTAATAAACTCAAGAAGAACTCATGGATATAGTACCATTTCAGTAAGTTCTTCAATGTTCAAGAATGGAATTTCTGCCATCATAATTGAATAAAACCTTGGCTAGAGGTCAAATCCTTGGTCTGTACTTTGTTTCAGTGAATTTCTTCAAATTGCTATTCTGTTGCCATGATTTGTATGCTGCTCTTCCAGTGTATGATGCCAACTCAATTTATCCTTAAAGTTTAACAGCTTACTAAAATATGGTCTGAGCTGATCATTCCAGGTCAATTTTCCCAAGTACACGGAAGGTCCTTCAAAAGGTAGACTTAAATTTCCCTTATTTCCAGAAAGTTTTCTTGGCTAATAGTTCCTAAGGTTTGTTCCCCTGTGGCGTTCTTCACAAACTCAGTTACGTTGGACACCCTCTGCCAGGCTTTCATTTCTCTGAGATCCTTTTTTCTTTCTCATTTTCATTCTACATCCCTCTTTAGATTTTCATTCCATTCTATTCTCTTGAGCATTTTATAATTTATTCACTTCTAATAACAATTTTGTCTTTTTTTCTTTCCTGAGTTTGATCAATTCATATTGCATTTCCTATTGTTTCTTCATTTTTCTCCTTAAATTTTTGGATACCAGGTTTTGTTTTGCTTGAGAATATTTAATTTAGTCTGGAGTACTGTGTTACAGTACTTTGTGGTTATTTTCCTCAGGGCTTTTTTTTGGCAGAGTGGATTTTTATCAGCTAAAATGCTTTTATACCTATTTACTGTTCTCTTCTAACAGGGTGCTGTGTAAATTTGATTCCCAGCCCCCACCCACCTGGTCATTTTGTGGGCAGCGTTCTTTAGTTTGAGAGTACCTCAAACTTTTGTCAACTTAGTGTAGTTTCATGCATGGGTAACAGGAGTGGAGAGCTTGAGGTCTTTCATTCTACAGGACACACTTTTTCTCTTTCTTCTGGTTTTCTCTTCACCACTGACTCAGAGGCATCATACTTCTCTATCTTCTGTCCCAGAGACAAAATTCCTCCAAGGATGCCATGTCTCCCTCGAGATCTCCTTCCCTGTGGCCGGTGCTATAAACTCTTTTGGCATGTCCTGTTGTACTTTTTCCTTGTGAGGGTGATTTTTGTATTTATTTTGTTTAAGTCCTTCAAGGCCTTCTCTGTTTCACAGTCTCAAAGGCTTTCCACTCCATCCTCTCCACATATATAGACCTATAGCAGCAATAGAAGCTTGATTATTTTGCTACTTACAGGTAACTGGAAGTTTATGGCATTCTGTCCCCGTAATGAAGAAGTTATAGGTTATCCGCATTTCATTTGTGTTCCTTTTTGTCTAGGTTTTCTGGGAAAATGTATAGATATATACAGATTCACATGGCCACCATTATCTTCCAGACTCGGAAACCAGTTCAAGCTATATTATAATAATTTTCTATAGCTTCCTAATTCACTATTTAACAAGTTGGCTCCAGGATAATTATAAACAAGATTAGTCAGTCATAAAAATTAGTTTCAATTCATCTATGCCTTCAACAAATATATTATGTAAATGTGGTCATATACATTTATCTTCATTTAATGTGATGCATAACTAAAAATCATACTAAACTATATGTTACATATTAAAAGATAAACTATGGATTACAAAAATGGAATAAAATAGTATACTGCACCATTATTAATACACACAAAAATTTTTGCTCTGCTTATCATCAGCTGTCCTCTTGAGTATGTTAAATTACTCACATATCATGTGAGCTTTGGGTTGACCATGATTGTTTATCATCATTCCAGAGTGAAGATAATAGTTTTTTTCTAGTTTACTCCTATTATATAAAATGTAATTTATACATTTTATAGACTGTAATTTTCAGAGTTCAGAATAGAACATAGAGAATTCTTACATCATTCATTAGTTCTTCATATAAAAAAATACTGGTTACTACAGTTTTATAGTTAAAGCAGAAAATCTAGGCACAGTGCAATTATAATATATATCCAAGGAATGGCATTGCCTATGAATTCTTTTTTTTCTTTTTACAATTTTTTTTATCATGAAATGTCTATTTTATTTTGAATACAGAAATGGGTACTAAAATAAGATACTTTATTTTTCAGATCAAACATAAATCAGAACTACCACTGGTAACTTCCTAACCAATTTTAATGTACTAATTCTGTGCTACTGATATAC